AACGCTCTTAAGGGTTCCCTTGAATCGCCCAGAAACGTCCGGAGCACGTCCGTTTCGCGTTACCAATGTCCGAGGTATCTTTCTTAGGTCTTTACATAGGTCTTTGGCGCCAATTTCAACTGAGAGCAAGAATGATCTTGGGATGAATAAATCCAGTGAATCCCGGATGAAAAAGGATAAACTGAATGATCTCCTCTTCATCTCAAATATTATACTTCTTCGAATCGAGTCAACAGTAAACAAAAGCTTTTATTTGAACAACTGTTCTTCTTTCTTTTTCGGAATGTTTTCAATATTCTCTGAACTCTTTGATAGCTCCAGGAGGAAATATTATCAGCTGCCCTGTCGGCAATTGATTATCAGTAGGCGAATCAAGCATTCCCTAGTAAACATCGACTTGAAATGTCGTTTCAGCTCGCTTGTACCTTTTTGTAGAACTTTAAGAGCTTTTTTTTGTATTCCAGAAAACAAATATTTTTCTCGGAACTCATAAAAAGGGAATTTCAATGATAAGATCCAAAGTTTTGAGGAAAATGTGTAAGAAACTCTCTGAAGGCTTTGATTAATATTCCGGGTGGTCGCTGCTTGAATTTCTGACTTCCAAGGTTTTTTTCAATTTCTCGTTCACCTTTTGAAGTCGATTAGTTAGAATCTTCAAAAAAAAATTTAGGTCATTTTGAAGAAAAAATAACTGAAAACCTGCTCTTGAAATCGCAGTCAGTCTCGACCTTTGAAGAATTTTCCGCGAAATTTATTAGAAATTTTTAACGACTCACTAAAATGATCTTTTTTGTCAGTTCATCTTGTTATTTGCGAGTTCTTGAAGATTTTTCAGAAATCTGATTGGTGTTATCAATGGAGCGCACTTTCTGTTACCCTACCCGGCTATTTTTTCGTAGCCGTTTTTTTTATAAGCTTTCGTTTTTAGGAGTTCTGTGACCAGCTAAAGATGCATCGAACAGTTTTTCTTCAGTTTTTCGATTTCAAAAGATGATTTTGAATTTCGTCACAAATTTAACGGGTTTTTTTTTTCAGTCCTACAAAGACCACTAGAACTTTTCTGCAGTATTTATCCAATTCAAACAGGAAAAAGACGTTTGAAAGTAGGTTTATCCGTGGAGCGCACTTTCTATTGCTCTGTCTAGCTATTTTATGTTGGACGTTTTTTTTGAGCTATTTTGTTCATGACTTTTTTTCCGAGTCTCAAAGTCTGGGCTTTTTTGTCAAACACTCAGTATTTTGTAGAAATTTTAAATTTTTACGAATTTTGTCAACATTGTGACTTTTGAATAAAATTTATAGTATATTTTGAATCATCCAGTATGTATTCACTTCGAACAGAAACCTAGCGATATATCAAACTACTTTTTCAGACTTTTGATAGCTTTCCTCCTCTGACGAGTTTTGTACAGGCGGAGCCCTAAAAAGACCACTAGATCTTTTTTCCAGTGTTAATCCCAATCAAACAGGAAAAGACGATGTTTTATTTCATTTTTATCCGTGGAGCGCACTTTCTGTTACTCTGTCCGGCTATTTTGTCTAGGCCGTTTTTTCTGAGCTATTCTGATGAGGCTTTTTTATCCAAGGCTTTTCTTCCTAGGCTGAAGTTTCTGGGCTTTTCTGTATTGCGTTCCATATATTTTTTTTGCAGACTCTTGATAGCTTTCCTCCTTTGACGAATTTGGGACAGTCGGAATTCTTAAAAGACCACTAGCATGTTTTTCCAATATGTCGAACAGAAAAAAAAAACGTCTAGAAGGACGCCGACGCAGGAAAAGATCGCAATTGAATTGCCCGACGCACTTATGAGGGGGGAAAATAAGCGATGGAGAAGCCCATGTTCGGAGAAAGTTCGTCTTGTTGCCGCCCTTTTCGTCACTGTCTGTCACGCGCTTCCCCCTCTGTTTATTTATTTTCATTTTTTTTTTTTCGTCAACGCCTTGTTTATGTTGTTCTGGTCTCTTGGTTTCTATAGTAAAAGTACCATTTCAAAGTTCAAAAGCTTTGATTTTTTAAAGGATGTTGACTAAAATTTTAATAAGTTCTCAAGGCGAAGAGTCATTTTACACTGTATATATACGCCCTCTCCGTCTTTAAGCACTATGGAAAGTTGAAAAAAAAATTCTTAGAAAGTTTTAAAAATTAGGGTTCGGTATGCAATTTGCTTATTTAACGGAGAAAAATTTCAGAAAAATCCTCTTTTTCGATATATATTTTTTTCTTAATTTTTCTTGATTGTAAAATGTGGTTCTGGTCTCTTGGATTTCATAACGAAAAATTCATTTTCAAAGATTCAGATTTTTTAAAGGAACATGGCTCAAATTTCACGAAATTCTCGAAGCGAAGAGTCATTTTCTGGGATATTTTAGTTGTTCTACGTATTTAAACGCCACAGAATGTTGTTTCAAACGAAATTCTTCAAACTTAAAAAACTAATTTTGATTGGAGACTTGCTGCCAGTTTTTTTGTTTATTTTCAAATCATAGTCTGTTTCTTCAAGACTTGCCGCTAAGAAGGAAAATAACTGCGAGTTTTTAACAAAAATAGTAATTTTATCACAGCGTTTGGTATACAATTTGCTGATTTTTCGGAGAAAAACTTAAAAATCTTCTGATATTTTTTTAAATTTTTTTTTGAATTTTTTTAACTCCAATAGCTCGAATTGAAAGCTGCGATTAAAAAAAAATTTTTTACAGATTTTTTCCGTTTTTTTCTTCAGAATCATTATCAAGTTTCAGAAGATGTTCTGTATATTTTTTTAGCCTTTGAAAACTATCTTATCGACTCAACTTTTTAGGAATAAGTCGCCTTTTTAAGAAGAAAGTTTTGAGCTTATTTGAAAAAGTTTGGAGAAGTATCTCTTTTTTTCTAATTTTTTTATAGCCCCTTTATGGTATGAATCAAAGAAAGGCGATCTTTAAAGTTTCAGATCTTGAGAATTTACAAAATTTCAGCAGTCTTTTCGATCTTCATGAAGAGAATTCTGGCCAGGTTTTATGCATTTCTGAGCCCGCAGGTATAATTACCTTCGATGTGAGTCACCAACGAATTAAGTAATGAAGAGAGCGAAGCGTTGGCGTCGAATCAATGAAGCTGAGTCCATTGTCTAGCCCGGAAAGCGCGAGAAAATCGGGTGTACACCTGGAAAGGCAAAACCCAGGGCAACGACGTCTGAAGGGAACGCTCTTCCGGCCTCCGCCACGTTTTATATTCATTCGTTCTCTCGGAGCAATGATGAAGAAGAAAAAAACCTGGCAAATACTCGAGCCCATCGATTTCCAGCAGCAGGTCCCTACTTTTTGTTGGTTACCCTCCAAAAAAAAGGAAAATTTGCAAAATCCACGCCGCCCCAATTATTTCCTCGCTCATTTGTCAAGTGTCGTCCCTTTTTTAGAGCCTGGGGACTCATTCGTCCTCTTTCCGTTTGGGTCAACTGCTCCCACGGATTTTCCTCAGTTTCGAGCCTTATAAATAAGGATTTACGGTCCGTAAATGTTTTGATAAAAGACAGCGCATTTTATGATCCGTAAATAAGCTTGGAACTTGAAAAACTCGATTTTTCAAGCTTCTAGAAGATTTTCTCCTGTAATTCTGATTCTAGTCGCAACTTTACAATTCTCTAGCTTACGACCTTCGATTTTTCATTGCTCCTGAGCAAACAAACATGGCTCTGGATCAGTTTTTGCTTACTTTCCCACCAAAGCTTGTTTGCTCATGTGTTGAGTATTTTTATGGTGGTTCCTTGATCGATCTTGCCTTTTTCATTCAAAATTGATGAAATCGCAAGATTCGGCTAGTTTCAAACTAAGAAAAATGCAAAATCGATTAATATACTCAAAATAAGGAAGGAAAACCGAATTTCAGAATTTTTTCTACGGTATTCATCTGTAAGCGTTTGCACAATACGCAAACACGTCACGCGCAAAACTCACATTTTGTTTTTTTAAATGTAATTTTTTGTTTTTTTTTCCCCTTCTCGTTGACCTGTTCATTGCTCAAAAACGGGTTACTTATTTAGATGAATCTAAAAAGTACTCCCAAATAGTATAAATTTGCAAAGATCAAAAAAACTTTTTGTGAGTCTAACAAAAATTTTTCTTGAAACTATTTTTGCAATATTACGTTGTTTATTCCTTCAAAGTCATGACTCATTTTAATTGTATTATATATTTAAAACTTTTGAAAGCTTTTTGATCGAATTCCCCCTTTTGCGTGAGATTTTGAGTCAAGAAAGCATGATAGTTTCCCACTTTTTTATTTTCATTTTTGAACTTATGAACGATTTTTTTTTTCGTGCGTCATACTTTCTCAAAATAAAAGCGGTTTTGAATTCAAAGAAGCGTGTCAGCTGTCCGCTCTTTCTTCTCATTTTTGAAACTTTGTTCACGACCCCGTTTTTCGATGACATTGTCCTTCTTTCTTTGTTTTTTTTTTGATCATTTAGAATATTCTGTTCTGAAAAAACTACGTTTCAAGATGACGTGGGTTAATTACATGCTGCTTCAAAGTTTTTTTTTTCATCAAAATGACAATTCGAAGCCATTTTTCGGACGGGAACCACTTGTTTTTAAAATGTCTCCACGATCCAAGCTCTTCTTTTTTCAATTTACAACAACTTTTCAGTGTTTTTATGAGAGCATCGTCGATTTTTTTCAGTGTCTGCGTCTTCATAGACATTGAAAGCGGTCCCTAAATGAATTCGAAATTCGAATTTTTTCAAGCGGCAGAGATTTTTTCAAAAAAAGTTTGAAACGGTTTTCTGCTTCGGAACCATTTTCGAAATGGTCTATGCTCCTTTAAAAAATACAAATCTTTTTATTGCGATTTTTTCAGAAAAATAATATAGTCCTTTTTCTTCGTATATATTCCTCTAAAATCTCAATTTCCTGTTTTCAATGGAGTATATAATTTTCTTCGATTACTTTCCGCTAATCGTTCGTTTTCCGTGAAGTTTTTTCTCAAAGGAACCGTTTTCCAGGGGCTCATCCCTCGTGGCAAGAATGAGCACGTCGGCTCACGACGAACGGCGGCTCTTCGAGCATTTCGTGATCGCCGGCCTCGACGATTCGCAGCCGCTCGAGCAGTTGACGCCGTCGTCCCAGGAGTGCGGCCTTCGGAACACTCAGCCGTTGGCTCCGATCACGGACATCACGGTCATCTTCCCACAGCTCGGCGAAACGGTAAAGTCTTTCACATTTTGTAAGGTAGAACTCACTGTAAGGCTTCACCTTCTTTAATGGCTCTTTTGACCATCTGGCGGGTCTCCTCTCGCCCGGGCCGACCCGTCTCATGCGCAGCTCTGTTACCGGGTATAAATCCGCCCTTTTGAGTTTTTTATAATTACTTTGTTCTACGTGAAAATGCATCTTTTTGCCGCTCAGAAACTACTTTAGGGATGTTCAAAACTTACGCAATTTCTTCTATATCTTTTTTTAGTCTGAAACGACTTAAAAATCTTCATTGAAGCTTAAGTGAGAATCAAAGTGGATACTGGAACTCCAGAGTGGCCCCTATAAGGGTAAGGGAAGAAAAAAACCCCTATAGGGATTCAGAGTTTGACCCCTTAGTCCCTAGAGCTCAAGTGGACCCTATAGGGGTCTTCCCATTTCATTTGAAAAACGCTCATTTATCCAGTTTTCCGCATGCTTCTTCGCTTAGAGTTCATAACAATCATCGACTAGCATGTCCCCTATAGGGCCCACTTTTTGCAAGCTTTAGTGACCCCTAAAAGGTTGGTAAACTAGACTTTAGAGGATACCATTCAGGGATCCCTAATAATGCCCATATAGGGACTACTCTGGAGTTCTTAATATATGTTTCATTCTAAATTTAAATTTAGCCTTCAAACTTTGGGCAGTGGAAATAGGTCTTCTGACCAACCTCACAAAGAAAAAAATTGTTTCAAGCTTCCTGGAAAATCTTGTTTTCTCACCTCTCCAAGAGCAACATTTTTTTTTTCATTTGTGGCCCTTTTTCAACACGCTATTTTTGAGAGAAAGGCCCTTGGAAGGCGCTAGACGGATTATTTTTTTAAATGTACCTTTCGAAATTTTTTTAGGCGCCTTTCCTTAACTCATCAGTTTGAGCCTCAACTTATCCAAGAAAGTTCATTTATGGGGTTTTCAAACTTCCCCTCCCTTCAATTTTGAGCTCCCAAGAGTTTCGCATATTTAAATCTCGTCTTTTTAGCCCCCTGAAGGATTCGAGGTGATAGAAACGACGACATTAGGCTATCCAGCCGATCTCAATCATGGATCGATCCGAATTCCGCCGGCCTTCATCTGTTTTCGACGGGGCTATCATAAACTTCCCCTCGTCGATATTGGAATCCTCGATGAAGGTGAGAAAATATTCAGAAAATCATAGGACCAAAAGAACTTTACCATTTACGACTTTTTATATCCCCTTCTCAAATCGAAAAACTCCGAAAAGTTTCTTTTCTTGTCGTCCTAAATAGAAGAGAGATCCCGAAGATTGGAGAATTTTCAAAAAGGAAGTAGATTACAGAGCATGTGGAGATGATGGAACATTCCAGGGGAAAGTTATAAAACATTCAGAAGATTTTTTAAAGGATTTTATTGTAATTTTGACAATTAAAAGTCTAGAAAACAAAAAAAATATTCCAGGAAAAAATTCAATATAAACGCGATTCTACAACATGGGTAATAATAGGTAAAATTGGAAATGATTTTAAAAAAATCTTGAGAACCGGTTCAAGGTCGCCATGTGACTTAGTGACTTTACCTTATAAAATAGATGATCACAGTATTGCATAGTTGATGAATTACATGTATAGGTATGTTGAGATTTTATGATTTTTTATTTCAATTAAAAAAAAAACATTCGTTTTTTTCTTATGGAAATGCTTTTTTGCTTAGAGTTCATAAAAATCATCGACTAGCTTGTCCCCTATAGGGACCATTTTTGCAAGCTTTAATAACCCCTATAGGAGGAAAAGCCGTCTAGGAATGTTGACCGATAATAAATTTTCGGGGATGTTGTCTAGAAGAGATTTGAAAATTTCTGAAGGGAAAGTGACGTAGATTCTGGAACATGTTTTGTTCTTAATGATGGGAATTAATCAATGGAAATATTATTCTAACTTTTTCCTAGGCCGTGGCGACAAGCCGATGGTCGATTCAAACGTTGTACAGACGACTCCTTTTGGCCATCCTGCCAATGTAAATAATGCTTCTCAGGTGAATTTTTTGTCAGGTTTTATAATTTGAGTGGGCTAGTGTTATCCTTATAGAGATCTGAACAATTTTCCTCTGTGAAAAAGAGTTATTTTGCCATGTAATTCCCATTTCTAGCTCTTTCTATGGCCTTTTTTCACTTCTTCATTATCTAATCTATACATTAGAAAGTCAATAATATTTTTATCCTTTGGGTTTTTTGACTTTCAACCTTTTCTAGCGCATTTTCTGCTTTTAGGGAATTTACCTAACCTATCGCCGGGCCCAGCCAAGCACTTCGCCCAGTCAATTTGTCGTCACGGACATCAAAGTCATTTTGGCGAATAAAGGAGAAATCCCGCCCCATACCTACTTCAAAATCCCCAAGAATTTAAACAAGGTTTGCTTAAAATTCGAGAATTTTTTTCAATCTGTAAATTTTCAGGGAATGGTCGGCTCGGACGTCTTCATTTGCTACAAGAAATCGCAGGGAACGTCGAAAAGACTGGCTTATAAACCGATTGTGAGTGAAAATCGAGAAAAATGAAGGAAAAAAACAACTTTAAGGATCAAGAATAGGTTATAAAAAAATTTTAGAGCTTGATTTTTACCGAAGTTTATTGGTTTCATTTAAAAAAATAGGCGGTTTATAGTTCACAAGGAAGTGACTGAAAAACCATAGAATCATCGTAAATGATCAAAATTTGGCTTTAAAAATTTTAGATCTTGGTTTCAGCAAATTTTTGTCGATTTCCTTCAAAAAGCGAGTTTTACTGTTCACAGAGAAGTGACTAGAAAACCATAAAATCATCGAGAAAGGAATATTTCAGTTAAATCTAATTTTTCTTCACCATCTGTTGCAAATTTTTTATAAACAAGGTCTAAAGGCGGAAAATTTTTTCATGGCCATGTAAGGATTTTAACAAGCTTCAGTAAGAATTTTGAAACGATTGGAAATAAAAAAAGAGATTTTTGAGTTAGGGTCCGAAAAATCGAAAAACTAGATTCGGAAAAAAAAATTTTCGAACGTCTTTCTAGTTATTAGAGGACTGAAAAGTTGAAAAACTGGATAATCATTTGGCGTAAATTCACAGGCACAGTCCAAACGACCTCAAAAAGGCCTTTAAAAGAAGAGCTTGAGTTCCTAAAAAGGTGTCAAAGTTTCTCGGAATCTCCTTTTTTCCCGCCCTGTTTTTATAAGACTTCTTGAGAAGCTATTATTAGAAAAAGATCCAGAAAAAAGCGCTTTTGAGGCTTTTTTTTTTCCAAAAGTCCCTTTTGAGACCTTTTTGAACTTTGCCCGTGTTAAAGTATCTAAGAGTTTTATCGATGATCCTTAAAAAATCATAATTTAACTTGGACAATTATTTTTGGAGCTATTTTTCATCATTTTTATGAGGAAATCTCTCGTTTCTAAGCAGTATTTCATGTTTTCAGATAATATTTGGATATTTTTGAAGGTCCTCGACTATTTCCCCCGGGCGGACCAGTCCCCGGCGATGGAAGATTTCAAATTGGCCCAAAATGTTGCCATGTTTTGCCTCCCGATGGGCGCCTTGATCGAAAGTTGGCCCGCAAAATGTCAGCCGCCGGATCGATCTTTCTCGACTTTTGTCCTGACTGATGAGGTTAATCAGCGAAAAGAAAGCTTTGAAACGAAAATTACACCATTGAAATAATTATCAAGTCACAGCTTCATGAATTTTTCCCATGAAAGTTAGATTATTACAGCTATAATCCATCCTTTTTTCATCTTGTTGAATTTAAAAAAATTATATTTTTTTCCAGTGGATCTCTGGTTTTGTAGCGCAGAGAACAGTGGGAATGAAAAAAATATAAAAAAATTTTTTTCAGAGTTTGAAATAATTTTGTCGGAAATTTATGTGAAAAATTCATTGTTTTTTTCCATTTTTTTCGTAATTTTCTCAGATTCTGGAGTTTTTCGAATTTCTGGACGATTTTATAAGTTTTAAACTTAAAATTTCACCTAGATACTTGAAAAATAATTGTTCATTTTTTTCAGGGAAAAAGCTACAAAAAAATACTCGAAATAAATGGAAATTTATCAGAATTTTCCCTTTCACTTTAGGGGTTCTCATTCAGTTTTTTTAAATTTCTCAATTTTATGTTTTTCTGGACCATTTTGAGCACTTATGACCGCCATTTTTCAAAAATTATAAACCTTGCGATTATCTTTTTTTTTCCAGAACGGCACAAAATTCTACGGATCCGCAGTGACTTTCTACGAAAAATACAAGAAATCATTGACGTATGCGATTTTTCCAACTCAAGAATTACACATGAAATTCAGAGAAGAACAGCTGGATATGTTGGATTTGGCCGGACACAGCGAAAAAGATCAAGAAGGCGGAACTGTCGAAGATTCGGCCAGCAATAATGATCCCGCTGATGATGTTTCGAAAAAAAAATTGAACTTATTTGAACTTTTTGTGGTTTCAGATGACTTTCTACACGAATATCTCCATCTGTCTCATTTCCAGATATCCCTTCTTCAATTCTTTCAAAGTGAGTTTGGAGGAAAATCATGCCGAAAGATTTTTTAATGAAAAATTGATTGGATCAACAAATAATCTGTAATATTCTCAGTTTATTCAAAGTTTGTCGAGAAAGAATGATCAGGTTCTGAAGAAATTCGACCAGAAGCTCTGGGAATTTGAGAAAAATTAATTTTTCAATTTTCTATCATTTCATAACAAAAAGTATTCATTAAAGGGTGACTGGGAAAATTTTTAGTGGCCACTCTAGAGGCTCTTCGAGGCTACTTGGAGAGGACACTAAAGTGGCCACTAAACCTACCTCTATAGTGGCCATTATTTTCCGTTTTAGTGGCCACTAAGAGGTTCTCTATTTAGTGGCCACTTCAGTAGTTTTTCATCCAGTATTCCTTCCAGTTACTCTGATAATTTTGAAACAAACAGATTGGACTAGTTATGTTGATCCATTGACCCCTAAAGTGGCCACTAAAGCTTTTAGTATTCTCTTAGACCTCTGAAGTGTCCACTAATTTTTAACCCCTCAAGTGACCGCTAATTTGACCTTTATAGTTGGCATTGAATTGTTAAAATCCTATAGGGGCCACTAAAAATTTTCTAGGATAATGAATTTTTAAAGTTATTAAGTTTTTAGAAAAATTGAAAGAAAGTTGGGTTTTTTTCTCAGTCTATTGGCCGTTAGCTTAGTTTTGAAACGATTCAACTATCAAAAAAATAGTGATTTGATTGATTGTTGTTGTGAATAAAAAGAAAATATTTGATTTATGAAAGGTCTTGGGTTCTTTGGCAGAGTGGCCTTCTTAAGTTCAACCGAGGATTTTTTTCAATTTTTTGGGTTTTTCTTTATTCAGATTCACTCTCAACGGAACATTCTGATGCTTCGAACAATCCCATAACAAAAAAATAAAGTTTGGATATTTTCATTTTTGATGCTTTGAAAAAAATTTTTCTCATAAATAGTGATACCCTTGAAAAAAACCCCTTTAACGGCTTTAGATTCTTTGAAATCATAAATAAATGAATATTTAAACTTCCTAAAAATGAAAGACTATTTTTTTCAGAGGTTCCTGTATTTTTTTGCATCGAATGTCCTGCTCGGGAGCCCAACAGCAAAAAAACATCCGGTCCCGATCGAAAGATATATTTCGCATTTGGTTCGTTTTTTTTTAAAAAGGAAGAATTGTATATTTATAATTTATCCAAAACAATATTATGTAGCTTTTTAGTAATGTTTGAAAAGCCAGATTTCAGATGTACGAAGTCTCGTTCCCGACCCCCAGACGACCGCGGGTGTTCATGCAACTCGGAGCTGAAAATATCAGTTTCGATTCGCACGACGAGAGTCAATTGCCATTGAATGGTGAGAATTGAGATTAAAAATTTTGAGTTTTCTAAATACAATCGAAAAAGTTCCTTGCAGTATGAATTTAAGTAATTATAATTTTACATGAAATTTAGAAAAATACAGGAAAAAAATCGACAAAAAAATTGGCTCAAAAATTAATCCGAAAAGGCATTGACAAATCGAATTGAAAATGAAGTCTTAAAAAAATTTTTTTTCTCCATGAGGAAATTGGATTTTTTTGAAAAGTTCAGGAAAAAAACAGGCAAAAAAATATAATCAAAAAAAGGCTCGAAAAAAACCTGAAAACTTGATGAAGACTAACCTTGGGCAAAAGCAGAAAAATGACCTTTTTTATTTGAATTTTAATAATTTTCAACTCTATTTATCAGATAATTGAGCATCGTGTGAAGTTTTTCCTGATGTAATTATTAACAAGGACCCGTTTGACCCAAATCTCAGATGAAAGACAATTTTTTCAGGCGCCCAACTTCTCGACGCCTTGAAATGCTTGGGCGTCGAAAATCTGATGTATTTGATGTTGTTGGCCCTGTTGGAACAGAAGATTTTGATTCATTCCTTGAGGTTTGTTTTTTTTTTATTAGTTTGTGCTCCTAGTTGTACTATTTCTTGATTTTATACGTATTGATTGTATTGATTCAACTCGTTTCTGTTTTTAATTTTAATTTTCTTAGCTTAAAAGTCTTTCTTAAAGCGAAAATTTTCATGTTAATATATTGAGAAAGACAGAAAAATGTTGTCAGTAGAATAAGGTTGATTTTACCTTGAAAAAATAGGCTTTTTTTTTCAATATGCATCCTTTTTTTTTGTTTTCTCCTAGGTAGCATCAACTAAGCCTGAACGTGATCTTTTAAAGAATTTTTCTCTTTTTCTTTATGTATAAAAATCGGTTCTTATTTAAGAGTTTGGCGCCAAAAGGAATTTGAACCGAAAAAAATTAGCCAATTAATTGTAGGCCTTGGATGCTGACGGCGGTGGCGGAAAGTATGTGCGCCCTGATGTTCCCGTTTCACTGGCAATGTCCCTATATCCCGCAGTGTCCTCTCGGCTTGGCTGGAGTTCTACACGCTCCTTTGCCTTTTATTGCTGGCGTTGATTCGAGGTGAAATTTTTAATAGAAAAGTGAGAAGCAATGAAAAGTTTGAAAATTTTGAGGTTTCTGCAAAAATGCTCACGAGTTTCAAAAAAAAAACTGTTCCGTTGGAACTTGTGCGTGAAGGTTTAAAAAAACGCTAGTTCAGCGAAAAAAATTCAGAAGACAGCTACACGAAGATAAATCCTTATGTTAATATTTCAAAAAAGATTGAAAGATGTTTTTAGTTGAAAAAGTTTAATCAGAAATATATATTGCGAAATTTCCTAAGCTGAACTCTTTCTTTTGAGCCTCAAAACCTTCCACGAAGCATACAGTTTAATTTTAAACCGGTTAAGAAGGAAGGAAAGGGATCTTCAGTTGCATAAGTTCAATTACAAATTTATTGAGCTAGTATTTTTTTATTCCGAGCTTCAGAACCTTTCATTTAACGGAGCTTTCAGTAATTATCTCTCAATGAAAGACAAAAGGCGTTTTTTTTAGTTTAATTATTTCAACTCAAGATGTATTTTGTCGAAATTTTTAAGCTGAGCTTTCCATTTTTAGATACTTTGAGCTCTACGAAGATCCGCCGATCGACGTGACCTGTTTCGACCTCGACACTTCCACAATCAGTTATTCCTCGATTCGAGCCGCTTTGAAACTGGGAATGCTGCCCAAAAAACCGGCGAAACAGCTCAAATCTTCCCTGGAGCAGATCTATCGAAAGTGAATAATTTTTAAAGGGTTGCATTATTTTAAAATGGCTGCAGAAAGAGCGTTTTTCGGCTGGAAAATGGCCTTTCTCCTGGTGTTATTTTTAATAGGGTGTTTTTCTCTTGAAAAAGATTGGTTTCATAATATATGGTAGATTTTGAAAATTTGATGATTTTTTTTACAGAGAGCTTTTTTAAAAAAATTGATTTTTCCCTCGTAAAAAAGAATTTCCAGGCTGCAAACCTCCGACTTTGAAAGCTCGACAAAGACGAAAAAAGTGGAATATATTCCGGTGGACCAGGACCTTTTGAAGCAGAAAAAACGACGGGAGTACGAGCTGGAAGTTCACGACGCGTTTTTGAAGTGAGGAGAAAAATTGAGAAGAATGAAAGTTTTTCAGTAGGTTTTTCAGTGGGGCACGATCAAAGAAGTTTAAGCCTGAAATATTTTTGAATACCGTCTGGTCCTTTGTTTAGTTTCTCAATGAAATTCCTAAAAATACCGTTATGTGTGTTTTAAAAAAATTTTAGGGTCGACTAGGAAAAAAGTAAGAAATTTTCACTAAAAGTCCTACCGTAATCCAGTGAGGGGCGGAGTCTCACAGTAACTAGCCTAAAAGTTTACAAATCATGTCTAGTGACTATGATAATAATTTCAACTCTCAAAACTTCAAATTCTTGTACCAACGGTTCATCGACTTTCTCTGAGAACATGTGATAATGATATTATTGAAAATGATCCTCAGTACTGGATGAAAAACTACTATAGTGGCCACTAAGGCGCAAAATAGTGGCTTTTATAGAGGTGGTTTCAGTGGCCGCTTTAGTGTCCTTTCTAAGTCCTGAGAAACCCCTTAAGTGGTCACTAAAGTCTTTCCCGGCCTAGTGGAATTTTCGAGATTTTTTCTATTGACTTTGAAAAAGAACAACTTGAAGATCCGGAGTTTTTTTATGAACAAAATTTTACCTTCCAAAGAATTTTAAGCTTGAAAAAAACTTTATAAGGATTTTTTTAAAGATAAGGGCCCCGGAATGATCAGAAAAATAAGGTTTTTATGTGAAAATTCGGTTTTTTTTGGGACAAGATAGTGTCGAATATACTGAAATTATTACAAGAAAGTTATATTTTTTCAGATTCATGGCGTCTTTAATGAAAGGCTACCAAGGCTTCCTGCGGCCGATCAAGTGTGCCCCGGCGACGGCTCATGCCACGGACACCGGCAATTTGTTCGACCTCGACGGGTTCCTGAGAAGCCGCGACAAGTCGGCTGCAGACTTCTTTAAGCGCTTCTCCGAGACGCAGTCCTTCATCCGGTTCATAGAGGAGAGGAGCTTCGTTTCCGACAAGAACATCTACAACGCCTTTTTCGATGATTGCATCGCCAAGATGACCAATGCGACGATTGGTGCGGTTTTGGAATTGTCTCGGAATTATTTTGGATGAAAAATTCAAAGCACAGAAAAAAAGGACTAAAGTTTCCTTTGAAAAAGCGTCTTTGAGGCGGTTCAGATTCTGAATTTCAAGAATAATGACGTCATTCGAAGAAGTTATGTGAATGGCTCGCTATCTGATTGGTTTATCGAGCCATTAGGGGCGGAGCTTGAGCAACAACGACATTTATATCAGAAGAAAATTATGAGCTTTGTTGAGAAATATCGAGAAATAAGCCTTGCCTTTGTTGAATTTAGAAAATTTAGTTCTTAAATTGGCCTTTAATAGTTCTTTTTATAACTTATATCTGTATATGTGATACTCAGAAAAAAATGTTATTATAGAAAAACTAATTGATCGGATTGGCCAGGAAGTTTATTTTGATTAAAAAAAGCGTTTAGTTTGTACAGAAAATTTGAGCATAATTTAGTAAATCAGAAGAAAATACTTATTTTTTGAATTTTTTAATGGGTTTTCAAACGGTTTTCAGTTGATTTTTTGATTTTATGGGGCTAATTGAGAAATTAAAATGGAATGAACTTGAAAGTTATAAATTTTTTTCAACTTTGCGATTTCATATTTTACCTAAACAGTGAATAGCTACCAGTTTTCATTTGAATTTCTCAAAAAGCAAATAACTGTATTTTTTAAGGATAGGTTTTATTTTTTTCAGTTTTTTACGATTAAGAGAGATATTTCAACTTTTCAAGTCTCGTCAATTTTTTTCTTGTTTTTCCAGAAGGAACCGAGGCGAATGTGCAGCTTTTGGAGCCGGGAACGTCTCATTCTCATACTACTGTAAGTTTTCCAACTTTTGCCCCTTTTTTTCTCGATTGCTTGGAGTTTTCGTGGTTTCTCGTGAGGTTTTTGAAAATTTAAACATCTTTCTGGGATTTCAGAGGTCTTTTTTCAATGTTTGTTCGACTTTTTACCTTTTTCCAGAGAAGAAGGTAGAAAAAATGCCCAAAAAAGCGCTTGAGTTTTAGAATATTCTCACTAAAACACTTGGAAAGGTGTTGCGAGAAAAGTATAGCTGATTCACGGCTGGTTTGGGACACAAAGAGGGCGTGGCCTGTCTGCGCTCTCCACGAGTCAAACACTGTCTCGTGCATTATCGTGTCAGGACCCTTTTTCCGATGTCTCGAGCCAACCGTGAATCAGCTGTATACGATCATAGAGTCCCCAAGAATGTCGTTGGTTTTGAAGCGTGGTTTTTCTATAGAGCATTTAATTTTTTTCTGTTAGACTTTTTAGTGTCGTTTATCCTTGATTTTCTTATGTTGGTTTCCGTGAAGATCCAGAAATTTAAAGCATCTTTTCAAAGACGCGGATTCAATCGGCAAAGTATTTTGCAGAATTTTTCTGATTTTCTCGGTACTTTGGCCATTTTTCAGAATTTTCGTAGTCTAGGAAGGCGGAATACGTCACAAAACTGCAGGAAAAAGGATCGAGAAAAAAAGATATAAAATTTATGAAATCCCCTGAATATCGTTGGCTTGGTTGGCAAAGAGTGGTTTCTTTATAGAGCATGTAAATCTTTCCGTTAGACTTATTTTTTCTAGTGCCGTTTTTTATAGACCCCGCCGCCCGAAGCGTTGTCGTCAATGGTTTGTTCGCTTTTTATAGATTTTTGAGCACGGCTTTCTTTTGTGTTTCCCTTTTTAATGGTAGCCACGGGGACTGACGCTTCTACTAACCGCTTTCCTTTTGGGTATTTACAGGGAAAATGGAGGTTTTTGGATTTTTAAAGCTTTTTCTTCGAAGGAAATGAGTATGAAGGGAGAATAATGTAATTTTGTAATTTTCAAAAATGGATTTTCGTGGATTAAACTGAATTTTCGGGAATTTCCAGGGAGGAAATTAAAATTTCCATAGTAATTTTCGAATGAATTACACTTTTCTACTAAAAAATCGCTTGGAAATTCAAAAATTTTAATAATTTCAGAAGATAATAGTGCTTTTTATACGGATTTTGCATTTGCGACTCAAAAATTTGAATTTCAAAGTACTAAAAATTTTCAAAAACCGATCCTTTTCCAACCTCCATTTTTCACCACTGTATTGGGAAAAAAACACTTTTCGCGAGAAATATCAGATTTTATAGGTGTTCATCCCGTCGCCAGAACCTGTAGTTGATCCGGAAACCAGTGAAGAAGGACAGTTCGTATACGAAGAATTCCCGAAACACTTGAAAAGGCCCCTGTTTCAACTGGATCGATTGGATCGAACTGCATTGGAGGCTGAGAAGCTCTCCGTTAATTTTGGTTGGAGTGAAAAAAAGATGGGGGATTTTTGCGCAACGAGTGTTCTTTCAGTTTCTGTGTTTGATTTTTTTACGGGTTTTTTAAGGTTTTTTTTTTTTAATTTATGATTTTGAGCTTCGAATTTGGATTTTATAATTCTTTTTGGTCTCCTGAGAGTACAAGACAAATTATTCTTGATTAGAAAATTATTAAGGCTTTTTTGAGTTCTCTGTATAATTTTGAACCGTGGTGGAGACAGTCGTTTACTTCGTTTTTTTACTAAAAAAATTAAAAAAACTTGATTTTTTTGAGATTTGTAAAAAAATTATTTTTTTGTCATCAAGAATAAAGGTTCTTAAAAAAAGCCTGATCAGTACCGAAAAAAATTTGATATTTCATCATTTTAGGCAAAAATGTTCTATTCAAGCTTCAAAAAAATTCATAACTCGTAAAAAGAAATCAACTATGAGTGCCCTTAGAAGGAGGTACCACCCGAAGAAAAAAAAAGCATATTTTTAATGAAGGATGTTAAGAAGACGTGAAAGTTACCCTTTGAAGATTTTGAGGGGGGTTCGCTTGAGGGAACTAACTAGGGAACGTTTATTACCCCTCGGTTGAACTTCCGATGAAAATACGCAAATTAGGCCAAAAATGCGCTATTTTAAGCTTTTGAAGTGTCCTAACTCGAAAAAAAACGTTCCCTAATAAAGTTTCAAAAAATATTTTTATGCTCCGTTGCGCAAAAGATCCAATGTCGCAAAAATTTGAGGTCTCTAGTCAAATGGATTCTTTCAGAAGATTCTCGGTGTACAGCGATAAGAACAAAGCCCGAGACGAGGTCTTCCCTTTTGGCCGCCATCAACGCCGTCAAAACGAATCCGCTACATGTTAGTTTCAGAGAACAAGAATAAGATTCAGAAAAAAATCTGCGTAACTTCTTCGAAGCGTACCTCCAATGTACGGAACATTTATTTCTTAACGTAGCTTAAAATTGAATTTAAATATTTTTTTATAGAAATTCGAGGAGTAGTTTCAGAAAAATAAGAAGAATAAAAAAAGAGAATCTTAAAAATAATGATAAAACAAAAGAAAAAAGAAAATTTCAAAGATTTTTAGAGAAGATGACAAAAAAATAACTTGAGAGAAGATATGAAAAAGCTTAGTTTTGAACTGAGTTAAAATAGTGAAAACCATCCTTGAGTTGTTTTTTCCAAGTCGAAATTTTGTTTTCTCAATAAAAATGAAGTTTCAGGTTTTAAAATGAATTCCAGACAAATTGAGCGAAAGACATTGAAATACGTTTCTTCAACGGCTTAAAAGTTACATGAAAAATGCGTTTCCGATTTGTTTTTGATTAGCTTGATCCATAGAATTAGTGGCTTGTGGAGAAAAATTTTGACAAACTATTGATTTGGATAAGTTTTGAATGACCTTTCAAATATTTTAAGTTACGAGAGGAAGAAAGAAATCTTAAAAGCTTTAAAAAGGCTGAATTTGAAAATTGAATCATATCTTAATCTTTAAAAGTTTACAAAATGATGGAATGAAAGATTTTTTGAGCCATTGGATAGGGAAAGGGTACAATTTTTTGTCATTTTCAATTTTTTTGCGTTTTGAAGTTTTTTTTTTATGTATTTTGAAGGATATTTAATGAAAGCAGTTCTTCAGCTACATTTTTTTTAGTTATTTGAATTAGAGAAAAAGTTATTTTTTTCCCTGAATTTCAATATTTATTTCATTATTTTTCGAGTTTCATTGTCGAATATCACTTTTCAAAGTGCTTCATGAAAGATATTTTCATTTATTTGAATTTTTTTTTGATTTTTAAATTATAAGGTTATCATTTTTCTATATTTCAAGTGTTATTCTATCAATATCCGGTTGAATATCATTTCTTTAAGGATTTATTTTTCAGTGGGCCAAAACTCTACTTTTCTACTCGTATTCCCTTTGGTTCATGCAGTTGGAAAGCTTGCTGATCGCTGCGCCCAACAAGAGGAAAATCCTGAAACTAGCTTTCAATGTCCTCAATTCGCCTTCCCAGAAATTGAACAACTACAACTTTCAGGTCCTCGAAAGGATGGAAAGGACGGAGATTTTCCCGCTCGACCAAGTTTGCTACAGGATTTTGATCGAATTGTGCGGCAAATACGGGGAACCCGCGATGGCTGTCAAAGTTCTGCAGGTGGGAAGGGAGAGTAAAAGGAAAATATGATTTAAAAGGAACGAAAAGTCAAGCTTTTCAGGTTTTTAAATTAGCAAATTCTCGCAGAAAAAGAGGATAAAATTAATTTCTAGGAGATTCTTGTCGCTATCATTCATTTATGATGACTGGGAAAATTTTTAGTAGCCACTATAGAGGCTCGCCAAGGACTACTTGAAGAGGACACTAAAGTGGCCAAAAAAAACCCGCCTCTAGAGTGGCCCCTATTTTCCGTTTTACAGGCCACTATAGAGGTCCTGTATTTAGAGGCCACTTCAGTAGTTTTTCATTCAGTATTCCTTCCAGTAACTCTGATAATTTTAAAACAAACAGATTGGGCTAGTTATGATGATTATTGACACTTAGACCTCTAAAGTGGCTAATTTTCAACCCCTTAAGTGGCTACTAATTTGACTACTATACTGGCCACAAAAAATTTTCCCAGGATGTGCCTTTTTTTCTAGGCAATGCAACGAGCCGGCCTGGAGCAAAACGCTGTGACTTATGGAATCTATCATCGGGCTGTTGTCGACGCCAAATGGCCTTCCAATCAGAGGCAACGGGCGATCCGCGCTTGGACCACTTTGAGGTTTTTTTAGGTTCTAAGAAGTAGCGAAGCAGGTTGTGTGCCTGTCTACGGTTCTTAGGGTTACGGGTTCGATCTCCGACGGGGATATCCCCATACGTCGGCTGGATCCCATCCCGGGATGCGGCCTAACCCCCATAGGTTTTTTTGAAAGTCTATAAAATCTACTTAAGGAAACGTTGTTATTTTTTGGTTATTTTTTCAATTTTCGTGTTGATTAGTACGTTGGGTAGTACTTAAAACTGAAAATTTGAAATTAGAAGCTCTTTTTTCGAAATTAGAAGCTCAAAATTTCCGATTCTTGCAGGCTAGTCGTCCTGGCGAACAGCGCCTTTCTGACGACCGCTGGAATCGAACCAAGACGGATGTCCACGCTCGACACCAGGTCGTTCAGCGACAACGGCTACCACAGCGACAAGACCGAGAAGGACGACGCCAAGGAGAAGCCGGACGTCGATTTCGTCATCTCCTACCATCCGCTCGACGGAAATGAGGCCAAGGAACCCACCACGCCGCTGGACCCTCTCGGAGCCTTGGCCGTCAATTCTGAAAAAGATGATGTTCGTTTTTGGATTTTTTAGGGGTTTGAACGAACATTCTTATGGAACTGGGAGTTGAGATTCCAAAAAGTTGTTTTGCCGTCAATTTCGAAAAGAAGGATGCTCCTTTTTGCGATTTTTAACTTTTTGAAGCGAAAATAATTCTTATAAGGCTGTTATTCTATCATTAAAAAATGTTGTTTTGCCGTAAATCCCGAGAAAGATTATGTTTTTTAGGGCTGTGAGATGAGTATTTGAGAAATTTTCTTTTTTTTTAAATCCACAGTCACGTTTCTGAAACACACAGTCAGTATGAAAAGGGTCTTGAAGGGAAAACCTGTTTTTATGAGGTTATGAGATGAGTTTTTCGAGAATTTCGCAAAAATATGGTTTCATTTTCAAGTGATTCTTGGAATTTTAAGAAAAAAAAACTCGTTTTTCATTTGTTGGAAAAATTTTTCGACTGAAGAAACTTCAGTAATGAAAATCAGATTGGGGAGAAAAAAATATTATGAATATTTGCTCTAGGAGAAAAAAATTCAAGCGAATTTTTTTTGTTGAGACTATCTGAAAGAAATGCAAAAAAAAAGTCGGTTAGCTGAAAAATTCTAGAAAAAAGAGCTCTCAAACGTTTTTTTATGTAATCATCGTTCAGGGGTTGATTTTCAGAAAGCTTTCTTTTTTTCAATTTTCATTTATTTTCTCTCAAAAATCACTATTCAATGATAATTTGAACTTTGGCAATGGTCAACTTGTCCCGAAATCAGAAGAAATAGCAGTTTTCAAGTGATAGGTCTTCTGAAACGATAAGCGGAAAACCAGGCAAAAATGATAATTTCGTTACTTTTCAGAGCCTCTCAAAAGTGACAATGTCGCCGAGCCGGGCCAAATTCCTGGCCGAACACGCCTCGACGCCATTTTCCTCAGAATCAACTCCCAAAAATGACTCGAAATCTGGCGGAAAATCTGCCGGATGGTTCAAAGGAATCACCAACAGCCCGTTCATGAAGATGATGAGGAGCTCGACTTTTGGTGAATTTTTGACGGAAGATCAAAGAATCTGGTATCTTCAGAAAGCCCGAAGCCGGTGGCTAGTGATTCCGACGTTCCGACGTCGATCAACAGTCCCAGCCTGCATTCCTTGGTCCATCAGGTCAAGAAGGGATACGATGACGTCGTGAAAGATGGTCAGCCATTTTCAGAGTGCAAATATCTATAGTGCGTTCTGCGCGAAACTTTTACCTTTTTAAAGCACAAAAGAAAAAGGCTACCGTAAACAAAGCTTCTTTAAAATCTTTTTCCTTAAAAAAAATGCAAAAGAGACAGGAAAAAACGAAGGTCTTGAAGCGAAACTCCTTATTTTGATACTTTAGCGGTCTCTAGGAATTTCCGTTTAATTTGACACTTAAGGGGTCCCTACGAGGTTCTGTGTTATTTTGATACTATAGTGATCCCTACGGAGTTCCATCTCAATTCGACTTTAGCGGTCCCTACCAAGCTCCCTCCCATTTTGGCTCTTTAGTGGCCTCCAGGAGGTTCTCTCTTTATTTATTTCTGTAGTGGTCCCTACGAGATTCTGTCTTAATTTGACACTTTAGTGGTCCCTACGATGTTTTGTTTTTAATTTTCACTTTAGTGATCCCTACCAAGCTCCGTCTTATTTTGGCTCTTTAGTGGCCTCCAGGAGGTTCTCTCTTTATTTATTACTGTAGTGGTCCCTACGAGGTTCTGTATTAATTTGACACTTTAGTGGTCCCTACGAAGCTCCGCCTCGGCGTTTCCTCATTGGTCAGTGGTGTTACCAGATCCTACGGGAACATGGGCAGTGGGATTTTTGTACAACGAGGAGAAGGTTCAAAGAAATATATATATATATATTGAAACTATAATGGTAGTTTTTTTGTAGGTTGTCAACCCTTATCAAGTGAATCCGAAGGACCCTGCCTATCAACTGGACACAGGTATCACTGGTTCGATCCTTCCCGAGGAGTTTTGGATGCGTGAAGTTTGATTTTATCCCGATTTTTGAGAAAAAAAAGAGCAAATGAAACAAGTTCTTCGGAGAAAGGCTGAAGTTTCCAGGATTAAAAATGAATAATAAAATCGTGTTGGAAGCTTCAGAGCATAGTGATTTTTGTTCAGAATGCTGCGAAAATATTTATTTTCAAATGAAACCTTGAAATCTGCATTTTATTCCAGTTGGAACAGAAAAATCAACAAAGAATGTTTTTAACTGATTTTCAAATTTTGGATCGAAAAATGGTCAAATTTTTCATTCTAATCTACTCTTGCTATCTTATAAAAAATAAGGAAACGGATATTCAAGATATGGAATTGTAAGAAAGATAATTATGACTTTTGGGCAATTATCGTATTTTCTATTTAAAAGAATAATTAAAAAGTTTACGCGAAACGTATCTTGAAAAGGTTTTTTAATTTTCCGACCCAGTCGAAAAGTTTTCGATGTGCGAATTTCGGTTTGACCTTGACTTTTTTTGGATTCCAATTTAAAAACTTTAAAATTTCTTCAAAGAAAAGCCGTAATTTTCCGAAAAAAAAAAAAAAATCGTATGGGAAGTTTCAGAGCATAGTAAAGTTTTTCGTTTCAGAAATTCTGCGAAAAATATTTATTTTTTTCAAAGTCAAATCTGAAATCTGCATTTTATTACAGTTGGAACAGAAAAAAATCAACTAAAAGAATCTTTTTGAACTGATTTTCAAAGTTTTGGATCGAAAAAAATGGTCAAATTTCCTTCTAATCTACTCTTGCTATTTTATAAAAAATGAAGAAACGGCAATTCAAGATATTTAGTTGTAAGAAAGATAATTATGACTTTTGGGCAATGATCGTATTTTTCTCTTTGAAAAGAATAATTAAAAAGTTTACGCGAAACGTATCTTGAAAGGGGGTTTTTTTAATTTTTCGACCCGGTCGAGAAGCTTTCGATGCGCGTATTTCGATTTGACCTGGATTTTTGGGATGTTCAATTTAAAAAAACTTTAAAAATTTCTTCGAATGGAAATTCATGTTGGAAGTTTCAGAGCATAGTGATTTTTTTATTCAGAATGCTTCGAAAAATATTTATTTTCAAATTAAAAATAAATATTCGAATATTCAACCTGAAAGGCCTTAGTTTTCCGAATGGAAAAATTGTGTTGGAAGTTTCAAAGCACAAAAGTTTTCGCTTAGAAAGCTGCGAAAAAAAGATTTATTTTTCAAAAGAAACCTTGAAATCTGCATTTTTCTTCTCGTTAGAACAGAAAAAAATCAACAAAGAATGTCTTTAACTGGTTTTTCAAAGTTTGGATCAAAAAAATGGTCAAATTTTTCTTAAATTCTTTTTCTTGCTATTTTATAAAAAAATAAAGAAACGGATATTCAAGATATTTAATTGTAATAAAGATAATTATGACTTTTGGGCAATGATCGTATTTTCTCTTTGAAAAGAATAATTTAAAAAGTTTACGCGAAACGTATCTTGAAAGGGGTTTTTCAATTTTTCCGACCCGGTCGAGAAGCTTTCGATCCGCGATTTTTGATTTGACCTTGATTTTTGGGGAATTCAATTTAAAAAAACTTTGAAAATTTCAAAAAAAGAAAAAGCTTTTTTTCTTTCGAATGGAAAAATCATGTATGGAAGTTTCAGAGCATAGTTATTTTTGTTCAGAATGCTGCGAAAATATTTATTTTCAAATTGTAATAAATATTCGAATATTCAACCTTGAAATCTGCATTTTGCATTTCTTCTCGTTGGAACAGAAAAGTTAACGAAATTCCCTTATGAATTGGTTTTTCAAAGTTTGGATCGAAAAAATGGTCAAATTTCCTTCAATTCTATTTTTAGTATTTTATGAAAAAAGAAGAAACGAATATTTAGGATATTGAATTGTAAGAAAAAAATAAAAATAGACATTTGCTCTAATGATATCGTATTTTTCTTTTGAAGGAATAATTAAAAAGGCGACTTGAAACGTATCTTAAAAAGGGTTTTTTCAAACAGCTGAATAGTTTTTGATTCGTGAAGTTTATTGCTTTTTTTTTCAAAATTTGTGCTTTGAAAATAAATTTTCTCGAAAAAATGACCATTCACACGGCAGTTTGAGGTTTTTTTCAAAAATAAGGCCTTCATAAAAGGTCTTTCAAAAAGTTATTTCAAATAGTTCAAAAAGAGAATAAGCCCATTCTCACAATTTTTGTAAAAGAAAAAGTTAAAATGAAATTTTAAATGATAGAAAGATAAATTTTGTCTATATAAAAGCCGGAAAAATGATTATTTTCAGGTTTATCTGCAACTGAAACGTACGAAGGAACGAGAAGAACGTGGGGATTCACAGGCGCCGAAAAAAATTGCTCAACTTTGAGACAATCTATTGATGAAAATAGAGAGTTGGAGGTATAAAAAGTGATTTCGGGTGTTTTTTGAAGTCAAAACTTGAAAAAAAGTCTGAAAAAATCCAAGAGAACAAGAAAGTTGAAAATTCGAACAGGAAATTTGCTTTGAAAAAATCGAAAAATATGAAGATTCGAGACTGATGTTTTTTTCTTTCTGTAAATTCAAAAAAAGGTCGTAAATTCAGCTGAAAAAAGCAGTTAAAATATGAATTTTAAAACTTTCCATCGTTGAGAAATCTCTCACGACTATAAAATCGAGATTTGAAATAAAGAACTGGCTTTTTAAGATGATTTTCATGATGATTGCAGTCATTGAAAACATTAGGAAAAAAAGCAGCTTGAAGAAAAAAATTAAACGATTTGAGTTTTTTTAGAATGAAAAAAATTTGAGGATTTTTTTACCCTGAAAACGCTTTTTTTAAAAATATAGATTTTTATCAGAAATTGTGAAGATTGGGAAAAATTAGTTCAGAAAGAAAATTTGGATTTATTCATTTTTAAGCTCAAAAAAAGACTGCGAAAAAAAGATGTTTGAATAATAAATTTTTCCAATTTTTTTCTGTTTGATTTCTTCCTTTTTACAGTAAGACCGTGAAAGGCGAATTGACCGTAAAAGAAAGACCGTAAAAAACCGTAAAAGGCAAAATTCCCAATTTTTGTTGTTTTTGAATAAAATTTATTGATTAGGAATTTTTTTCAAAGCTTCCGGATTCATTGGAAAATAATCAAAAGATACAGAATTACTGATTTCAGGTCCTCATCAGTTCGATGACCATGTGTCCCAAGTGCCGGACGATGATCTATGACGAGGAGATTATGGCCGGCTGGAAGGTTTTTACTCGAAATATCAAGAAGAATGATTGGAATTGAACTTTTCAGGTGGATGATCAAAATTTGAACACGGTCTGCCCGCATTGCTGTGATGAAAGCAGTGAGGAGGTGAAGAAAAAAAAAGAAAAATCGAGGAAAAAATATGAAATTCATATGTAAAACTTTCTATTTTTTTTGTTTCTGTGAGGCGTATTCTGAGAATTTTTCTAGTCAGTTAAGGGAAATATTTCTTTCTCACAAAGTTAAAAATTTTCAAAAAGTCGATTTTGAGAAAAAAATGGAATGAACAGGTTTTTATTGGATGAAAAATTTGAAAAAATTACAAAAATGAATGATTCAAAAAAAAGTCTAATTTGTTTTTTTTCTAGCTTCAAAATTGAGTCTAGAAGTTGGTTCTGGAATTTATTAGAGTTATATCAATTTTCCTACGAGAAATTTAGAAGCTTACCAGTTTTTTTGATGAGTTTGAAAAACATGAGAAAAACACTGTTTTTGTTTAAATCGAACTTTTTGAAAATGAAAGTTTTTTTTGAATTTTGTAACATAAGGACATTAAAAATACTTGAATAATTTTCTTAATTTCATTTTTTCCAGGCCTTCCCACCTCGTCTGACGGTCCGGATGAGGTACAGACCTCTGCCGGTGAACAGTTGGTACACGCCTGGCGGATTGCCAACTTCTCAACAAAATGTTCGATGAAAAGAAAAGAAAAAAATAAAAGGATTTTTGATCATTAAGACGCCAGAAAAGACGATTTCCGAAGAGCTACCATCGATTTCGGTGGCCTTTGTCAGTCCTTTGGTCCTTCGAAGGGAGTTGGAAACCTTGCTTTCCGTTGATCGGGATGCTTTGAAGGTAAAATTTCGAATAATGAAGAAATGGAAGCCCAATGAAAAGCAAACGTTACAATCGGCCTTCAAAGTTCCATTCCCTTTTTTTTTTATTTGAAAATGAGGGTGGAAAAAGGCTCCCCAGAAATGTTCCTTTTGGGGTGAGAAAAGTCCCCTTTTTGCTGACTTTTTGCGTTATTTAATGGCTTCTTATGCACATGTTTTGCTGCCTCTCCCTTTTCTACCATTTCTTGAGCCTTTAAATATCTAGAAAAAATGAAAGGCTCGATAAAGGGACTCTTTTTGCTGCCTCTTTGCGGCCTTTTCTGAGCCACTCCCTTTTAGCGGCCGTTATCCACCATTCCGACTTTGTTCGAGAAACTGGCTTTTGAAAAAAAAACGAAGCTCAGGTTTTTGAGAACAGCATACTTTTTAATGAGAAATATAGTTCTAAAAAAATTCAAAAAAATAACAAGGAAATGAGCAAAAAAATTCAAAATAAGTTTTTTTTCTCATAATATTTATTAGTTTCGCTTAAAGAACCGCCCTCTTCTGATTACGAAGCACTTTTTTTCGAAATCAATAATTTAATTTTTTTGTAAATGTATCACGATTCCGGTGAATAATACCCTTAAAGCTTCCATTAAAATATAAAAAAATTACACCTTAATTTGAATTGAAAAATTTTTCTGAAAACCTTGAGAATCTAACATTTTTTTTCCAGGAATCTTCCTTGATGGATTCCCATCCGATCGTCTTCTGGAACCTCATCTATTATATGCGGCGCCTCGCTTTGCCAACCCATCTTTATAGGTTTCTGAGATTTTTTTGTATAGTTTGCAAAGTTTGTAAATGTTCTTGTTCTGTGAACCATTAAAAAAATTTAAAAAGAAAAAAATTTTTTTATTAGAAACATTTTTTTAACTGGAAAATGTACTTCTCTCGTGAATTCTCGGAAAAATTAATATTTCAATTTTTCTTCATTTTTCAGAGCTTGGAAATGTTCATTTCTGTTAATTTTCTGAGGAAAGAAGTTCAAAAATCTGAAAAAAGGTTAAAGAAACTTTTTCTTTCACTTCTAAAAAGCTTTGTCGTTTTTTTGTTGGGGAAAAAAAGATAGAAATTAAATTTCTTTTTTTCATTCTGAGAGCTTGAAAAATACTTTTTATCTTTCAAGTTTTCTGAAAAACAAGTTAAGGAAACTTCTGCTCTTTTTTGAAAGCTTGATAATATTCTCATTCTGTGAAATTTTTTTAAAGAACTTCATTAAATTTTTTCATAGTTTCATTCATTCTTGAAAGCTTCGAAATTTTATAATTATAGTTAATTTGCAGTTGGATCACCCCTCGCCACCATATCCGCTGTGCCTATGACATCCCCTCAGAACACGTTGATGTGGCGCCTTTGTACTTCCTGAACCCCAACAATCCGGTAATTACCTGGCTTATAACCAAGCCCCCTAATTGGCTCGTTTAGTACCACACGACGGCGAAAATCGCCCCTAGTTTGAACGCCTGGAACTCGGTCACAACTTCCGTAGAGAATAATCAGCTTTTCAAGGTGAAAAAAAAATTCCTCTTTCAAAAAAAAAAAAATGAAAACATAGCTAGAAATGATAAATCTACAAAGAAAACCTTTTAAAAAGTATAATTTCGAGTTTTTTGATCGAAAATCTTCGTGTAACGAAGGATCAGAAGCTGCTGAAGAGACGCCAGAGAAAAGGAGAGTTTTCCAGCTTTTCTGCCGTCTCTTCAGTCCGTCGTTGATCTCTCGCTTCATGTACTTTTGAAATTCCAAAAAAGAAAGTTGAGTTATTAAAAAAAATTGAAAGGAGTCTTTGGATTTTTTGAAAATTTAGACCTTGTAAAAAGCATAATTTCGAGTTTTTTGATCGAAAATCTTCGTGTGACGAAAGATCAGAAGCTGCTGAAGAGACGCCAGAGAAAAAGATTTTTTCTAACTTCTCTGGCGTCTCTTCAGACCGCAGTTGTTCTCTCGCTTCATGAACTGATGGAAAATTTTCAGTTTTCGGCGTTTTTCAAGACTTGAAATTTAAGCTTTTTTGGCATACTTTAAGTCAAAAAAGGCTTCAGTTGTTGAAAAAAACCAATAGGATTTAAAAATAAATGGACTCCAAAAATTTGATTTGATTGGGTATTCTTTATCTCGTGAACCTACGGGTTATTTTTCATCTGATCTTATCGGTTAGGGAAAAGAGTGTGCAGACACGTGATAATCATTTTAAACAGAGGCGAATGAAAAGATACCTTTTTAGGCTATCCAAACTCTGATCAACGAGTCTCGGAAAGTGACCAGTCAGGGACAAGTTACCGTCGGACCTCATTTCCCGATATTCCGGTGCCTCATTTCCATTTCAAGAGGAGAAATCCATGTTTTCCGTCTTCAGAGACATCCAGTTCGCCTCCCTGGACCTTATTCGGGCGAGCCCTCCTCCGGGACAGCCTCGACAACCAGTACGACACGGAGTGCAGCAAACTGCCGCCGAAAATCGCCGGGATCCTCCCGATGCAGGACCACCCGTTGTCCCAAGTCACCCGCGCCTGCCGAAAAGTCTTCATGCCATTGGACCTCGTCTAGTCCTTCCCCCATTGTCTGTACCTATTTTGTATCATACCTGGCCTTTTTTCTGAGGAGTTTTCGGAGTTTTGAAACTTACTCAGCTGAGTTAGTTTTGAGAATTCCAAAGCTGGAACTTTGGGATCTGACAAAAGAGACTGGTTTTGAGATTTTCAGTGGTCAGAAATATTCATTTGAAGCTACTGGAGTGAGTTGAAAGCCACATTTTCTCGGTTTTAATTTTGTACCTTTTGCATAATTTTCGAAGCCAAAAGTTAAAAACTGACAGCCTTGAAACTTAAAAAGGGCTTTTAGGCTTTCAAAAAATCTTTTGAAGATACCGTTTTGTTTTCTGATGCTTCACGGTCTATTTCAAAGTTAAATCTGAATTTTATCAAACAGTATTATATTTTTAAGCTCAAATTTTCAAAAAATCCGCGGCTTTAAATTATCTCAATTCTTCTAAAAATTTTAATTATTGAAAATTTTTCAACCCTCCCGAAAAACAAGAACTTGAAGAATTCTACTGTTTAGAATTATTTCAACCTTTTTTCTGGAATTTTCCGTCCATAAATACATTCAAAACTCGAAAATTCTCCGGACCAATTTATTAGCTTTTTTTCGATTTCTTTTCTACCCATTGCCAGTCCTCACCCCCGTTCAAATTTAGCGTTAAAATAACCCTTTTCCTCCTTTTTTCTAGCTTTCCATCCTCATATCTGGTGCTTTACGGGAATTATCTACATTAAAAATAGTTGTGAAAAAAGTCCACCAAAATCGAAGGTGTTTCTGTGATTTTTCCCCTTTTTTTTGATTCCCTTTTTTTCCTGATGATCGGAAACCGACAAACTTAACCCTAGTCAATTCGAGAAAATTTCTTCAAAAGCCATTATTATTATTGACAGATGTTCATGAGAAGTGAGAAAAGTTGATTTCTATCTTTATTTTTATTTGTCTTTCATCCTCACCCCACCAATCATTTGTTCTTGTGAATTCACGCGTAATGAAGATACCAATTTTTCAAATCAATCTTTGAAGGAAATTTTGTATTTTTCAGATTGGTATTTGAAAAAGAAAAAAAGTCATAATCTTTCAGAAAAAGTAGTTTCAAAAAAACAGATGGACCCAGAAAGAAGCTGGAAAAGCTGGAAACAAGGCCCGTCGCAACGAAAAAGGCATGAAGAACGGGATAACAAGAGAAAATCCAACGGTGATGCTGATTTTCCCAAGAGAAAGTGAGGATTTCCGAAACGTAAATTCATTCAAAAAGTTAAGAAATCAGTCGGATTAAGCAATTTTAATTATAAAAAGCTGTTTTACAAGAATCAAATGTAGAAAAATCTTTTTTTCAAAAAAATCTATAAACATGAAAAAAATTTCGAGGGATTCCAAAAAAAGAGGGTTTTTCAGCTTCCTAGGCTATTTTTTTATAATAAAAACTGGATTCAGAAAGAAAAAAATTTTCGAGGGGGAAAAGAAAAAAATGAATTTTGACCGGTTGAGAATATTTTTTTTCCACCTGAACTTCAAAAAAATCACTGATTATTGGGTTTTCTGATTTCTTTTGTTCCATTTATCGATCCAAGTTTCCAGTTTGTAATGAAAGGATTATTTTTTTAAAAAAGTTATTTTTGTATCTAGAATTTGTCAAATATTTTCTTGAGTTCGACCAGAAGAAGCTCAAAATTCATTAGTAGTCAATTTTTTACACAAGCCCATAGTGAAATGACGAGAAAATCAAGGAAGAAAAAAAAATTCGGTTCGAAGGATTTCACTTCAACTTTAATTTTAATCATCAAAATAACATCTAGTTTTTTTCAAATTCAAGAAAGAAAAATGCTCGAGCTTCTCTACGATGAGCGGCAACCTTTGCTGAAAGTCACGAAAAGAGCGGTTTTCTCCGGTTTTCTTCTATTTTTAGCAGAAAAAATGGTTTAGGGCACATATTTGGAGTCGATGGGAGTTCCAGCCCGGGCCGACGTTTTTATGCAATCCGAAGAAGCCATTTATTTGTTGCAGGTTTTTTCTAGTTATTAAAGCGGATGAGTGGCTAGAAAGAAGGCGAGATAATACAAGGGAGATTCTGAAAATCCAAAAAAAAAACTGTTACAAAAAAAAGTCTTATAGTCCATTTACCGTGGAGTTTGGCGAAACAGTGGACGAAAAGTAGAGGTTTAGACATTTTTCTAGTCCGAAAACCGGCACAAAAGAAAGGCTCTGACAGTTCAGATTTTTTTGCAAATCATTTTTTTTTCATTTCTTTATTTATTGTTTCGAGCGAATGGGGGCGAAAATCTGAAGGTTTAAACGTCTATTGCTATTAAGCATAAGGAAGGTTCTGACAGTTTTTAAAATTTTTTTTTCTCGGAAATTAGATTTTATTTCTTTATATGGTTTCATTCAACGTTAACTTGATTGAAAACAGAGTTCGAAAAAAATGGAGATTTAAACATTTTTTTCTTGTCCAAAAGTAGCAAAAATATCGTGTCGAGAAAGTTGTTTTCACAAAAAAAAATTTCCATTTACTTCAAAATAGTGAAAGTGAATAAGAGGTTTCGACGTCTATGTAGAAAATGGCGTAAAAAAGCCCTAAAATCGAAATACAAACCGGTGGACAATATTTTTGCTACTTTTGGACAAAATTACAGACCGGTGGAGCGCGAATTCTCACCATAAATGGCCAGGAATTATTCCTGCCTCAAGCTTTTGTCATTTTGCAACGTTCCGGCGTTTCCATGTACAAATATTCTACGTATTGCGAGCTCAAAAGCACCGGTTTGGTCGTTTTGCGGCCGAGGTACTCTTTTTAACTTTAAAAATAAGGAAAAGGGATATTTAGACCAAATCGAGTCCCTCATTTCAATTCCCGTTCTAATAGTTATCCAGTTACGAGTTCCCCATCTACTTCGAATGTTCAAGGCTTTTTCGAATTCTGAGGAGCCGTCTTGTAGTGGTAAGTTCCAGAAAAAAAGGTACAATGTTTCAGAAAAAAAAGAGAGAAAAAGTTAATTAATCATATAAATTTATTTTTGCACATATCAAGATAAAATTGGCGGCAGATAGCCTTTTTCAGGAACTCCAGAGTGGTACCCTCTAGGGGAAAGCATAGAGGGTCCCTTCGGAGGGACCACTTTACCAACGCCTATAGGGGCCACTAAAGCTTGCAAAAGTGGTCCCTATAGGGGTTTAGTTAGAGGCCGCTACAGGGAACATGCTAGTCGATAATTTTTATAGAATCTATGCGAAAAACTAAAAAAAAACCATTTTTGAATGAAATTGTAAGAGCCCTATAGGGTCCACTTGAGCTTTAGCGGCTCTGGGGTCAGACCCTAAACCCCTATAGTGGCTACCTTGATTTTACCCCTATAGAGACCCCTCTAAAAAACCTAAGTAGATTTTCTAAGCACGTAGAGTTGCCAGTCTTTACACAACTTTAAGGATTTTATTAGGATCATTTTTCTCACTTGAGGACACCAGAGAGCTCCCTAGAGGGGTTAGGGAAAAGCAGCCCCTATAGGGGAGAAAACTGTCCTCCCTACAGGGGGGACCTTCAAGGATCTATAAGGTTGCCCCTATAGGGATCACTTTGGCGTTCCTAAGTATATCAGGAATATTATACTATTTGGATTTTTTTTCTTGAATTATTAGTGATTGGGAATGAAAAATTAAAGGTCCAGTTTTTTTCTAAAAATACGAAAAAATTTTTTTAACCGAAGTTTGTTCAAAAAGTTCTTCCTGGAGTATTTGATCTGGAAAAAAATTGGAAAAAAATTTTAAATTGTTCTGAAAAACAACTCTTCTTTTCAAGACCTTCATGAAATTCGGCTATGGTCCTATGAACTCTTTTGAATAGACTAAGATTTAATATTCATTTTTTCTAGGAGCTCCTCCGGTTTCTACCCCGCCCCATGATTCTTTTGCCGAACTGGGACTGTTTCCCAACCTTCGTCCCTGATCCGAATCGTCCTTTTTCGAAGGCGGGCATCCAAATGATGAGACTTCACGCAGATCCGAGACTCGTGTCCTTTGTTCCCCGGGGGTCTGGAAGGATTTCCAGACGACTTCAGCCCTAAGAAATCTCCTTGTGAGTTCCGGAAACATTTCGAAACCTCAAAATTGTGGTCTCAACGCAATTTTTTAGCTGGTGGATTACTTTAACGTAAAAAATTATTTTGCACCTACAGAATATCGCGATACCATGTGAATTTTTTTCAGCCTTTTTTTGTGCTTGGAAAGTCCTCAAAAAAATCTCGAAAAATATATTTTTTTAACGTAAAATTTCAACTGATTAGGTTACTGAAAGATTGGTCGATTTTTGATTCCAAAATAATCCGAATCAGTTTTCAGAGAAACTCAATTTGTCTTAGGAAATTTTAAACTGAAAAAAAAGCTGCTGCAATAAAATTCCTAGGAAAAAATTGACCAGATAATGAAATTTCTCATGTTTTCTACATTTTCAATGGAGCGCAAATTTTCGAAATTTAAGCCTGATTTTATGGCTTTTTTCTCGGAAATCTGTTGTCAAGAAGTTCTTTGCGAGCTTTGGAATATATTTTTTTAATAGTTTTTCAAAAAAATCGATTATTTCAAAAATTTTTCATATCAAAATCACTCTCTGAAGGAAAAACAATCAAGTTGTGTTATGCGCCTTTAATAACGACTCACTTGATTTTAAACCTACAAATCGTGTAAATTCGAAGCTCTGCGTTTTTAATTTTTTGAAATGCTTACACTGAAATCGAAAAGGACGTAAGTACCAAATTACAGACTCCGACCACCAACAAAAAGAACGACCGACCGTGTCGACCTCGATTTTGGCCCACGATTTGGCCCGGCGCCAACCAAGTCCAAAGTTGGAAACAGTTCGACGCCATCCAGCGGCAAGCCATTTCGGCCGTCAAACTTCGATCTTTCCGGTTTTCATCCAAAAAATATCATTTACTAACAAATATATGGCAGCGTGGACCCCCGGACGCAGTCTCAACGTCGCTTCGAAACTTCCACGACGACTTCAGAAGACGTCGACTTTCACGTCTTCTCGCCGCGTGGATTCTCTCACAACCTGCCCGCTCGGCCTCTTTTCGGCGTCGTTTGTTTTGAGTAAGTGAAATATCTACATGATTCCGTCCCTTTTCTAAAACATAGAAGATGAAAAGCTACCGTAGTCTCAAATTTTTTCGCATTTCGTTTCGAAAGTTTAAAAAAAAACTAGGCTTTCGTGCGCAACAACCACAAAACAGTGAGCTCTGCGCGAGCTCCTCACGGTCAAAAAATCACAGTATTTCAGAACTTTTTTTAGCGTGCGTCGCGTCAAGACCTGTAATCTGCAGGTATACGGTAATTTAAAAAAAATTACAAGGTGGCGCGGAAATGTCTCTGCTCAAGTGAGAACTCAGATTTTTCTAGTAATCTCTTCGAGGAGTATTTGGAGAAGCCACTATTCCAGATCAATACGGAGTAGTAGGCTTTTTTAAGTGATGACTTAAGGTGAAAGAGCTATGCTTAAGTGAACACTTAGATTTTTTCAGTGATCTCTAAAGTAGTACTTGAAGGAGCGGCTCCGTTTGTCTATGTCTGAGTATTTCATCCAGCTTCGATAATAGAACTTATTTTTCAAATTCTTTGCAAACCTCATTGAATCGAGCTAGCAGAAAATGGCATACATTTGAAATTTTCTCAGCGCTCGGTCTCAAATCCGCATGGACAGACTTGCCCGGATGAGCAACGTTGTTTTGGCGATCTACGAGGACGGAAAGGTCAATTTTGTCGCCACAAGCGGCCAGCCAATCGATATCACTCGGATCTTGTAACGGTTTTCGAGTGGATATCATCGAAATTGTCGTTTTCCCAAGTTTCTTTTTTTCTGAATGATTTGAAAGTAATCCTTGAAATTTTCCCCCGAATTCGTGTAGATACGTTTTTCTTTTCGGTACAGTGTGAAAATCATGACGTTTACTTGAGATTCTTCTGAATTCATCGAAAAAAGTTTCTGAAAACTCTGATCAAAATTATGAGACTATTCGAAAACAAGAGAGTATGTAATTTTGCGTCGAAGGTGTATACACCCAAAACATCATTGCTTGATTTTTTTTTTTCAAAGAAAACTCGGGAATTTCAAGGAAAATCGATTGGAAGAACATAATCAAAAAAACATTTTTTTGCGTCTTTTTTTGTGTTCCCAGGGTTCAAAAAGAAGTCGTTTTTTTAAATAAAACTGAATTTTTCTAGAATATTTCAAAATTTTCCTTCCGTTTTCAACTTTGTACCTCATTTCACGAGATGTTTTCCCACAGCCTTCGTACAATTTTTCCCATCAAAATTTCAAGTGCTCACCAACCTTTTCTTCTGGATTTGTTACTCACATTTTTTTTTTCTGAATTTACGTTCCACTGACTAAAAATAAAACTTTTTTCATTTTTCTTCAAAATTTTCTGAATATGTCACATGCGTTGTTGAAAAAAATGTTGCTTCGAAGAAATTTCAAAAATTTGAATTGATTTAAAGTTTACGAAATTATTCGAATGGCCCGTTGCTCGAATCCCTTACAAGATCAGGAAACTTGGCCGTGGAGCGAAGAAGAAGCCGGCATCAGGTTGGTTTTTTCTATTTTCGAAGAAAAATAATGAACAGAGAAAGCCAACTTTTTTCCAACAAAAACTTTATCAAAACGAGAAGACGAGTAGTGGAGAAAAAACAAGTAAAACAATGAAGGTTCAATATTTCAAAGTTCAAGGAGCGGATCTTCTTCGGGAACGAGTTCATCCAGAACTTGCTAAAATATTAAAAATTATCGTTTATTTTTTCTGAAAATTCATCAATAGCTACACATTAATTACCCCGATAGGGAACACTTTTTCGGTCTCCGAATGGGCTGTTTGTTCCCATAACCCCTATAGGGACCACTTCGGAGTTCCTAAGTGAATCCGACGTAAACCCCGAAATAAGGGAAGTTTTCGTTGATGTTTTCGGTTAATTCTTCATTAAGTTACCGTTAGAATAATGGACTTTTGACGGGGTCCGCCCCTGGTTACATAGCGGGGTGCTGCGCGTTTTCAGCGCGTGGTGCACTTTTTTTTTCGAGAAAACGCAATGCGACCGCTTAGTACATTGACTTTGTACTTATTACTTTGTACTTTGTAAATGACTTTGTAAATGCTTTGTAAATGCCGTCAAGAAAAATTGATTACATGAAAGGTAAAACTGACCATTTGGCTCCTTTTACGACGCGGACCTGGAGATGGACCTTCTTTTGTAGGTTCAGTTTCTTCAGTCGCCGTCTTAATAAAAAAAAACCTTTTTTCTTGCAAAACTTACTTCTCTTTTAAAATATCCAAACTATGCGTGATAATAAAGAGGAGCTTCATAGTTTACACTAAAAGTTGACTTTTTCACTATTTTTCTGTCATTGGCTCGCAAAAGAAAGCTCAAAAATATCAAGTCCAGAAGGCTCTCGATTTTTTTATTCGATCAAGCATTCTCACGCTATTTTATAACGTTGAAAAAAAGACCATTTTTAATAAGTTTTTGCGGTTTTTTTTTTTCCATGAGAAAATGGCTTTTTGAGAAAAAAAAGACTCGAAAAACTGTGTCATTCGGCAAAAATTTCGCCTTTTTCAGCTTTTTTTGTTTGAAAAATTTTCAAGTCGACTTAGTTAATTTGACTTGAATATAGGCAAAAAGATGGAAAAATAAAGCACATTAGGTACTTGAAACGAAGAAAAATCCCTGTTACGGTATTGAAAAAAATATTCAGTAACTTTTTTTCTGTTTTTTTCGCACAGTTTATTAAAAAAATAACCGAAAAATAAATACTTTGCCACATTTTCAAAAGAAACTCACACTTTTATTCCCGGATTTATTCTTTTTTGCACTCCTCTCATCCTGAAAATTGATTAAATTTAGAGATATTTTGTTTATAAACAGACCTTCTCATGGCTTCTATACATCTTCCGTAAGAATTCGACAACCTGAAAAAAGTCATTTTGAGAGATTTTGTTACACTTTCTTCGTTACTTCTTCCATATCTATTCGTTCTTTTATCGCGTATTCCCAGAGGTGGTCCTCGACGAAAGTCCCAAGTTCTTTGGGGGCTCTGCTTTGTCCCATGTCATTCACATCGCCACGCACGATCTTAATACAAAAGGTTATTTAAAAAAAGGAGCTTTAAAAAAAAAAGGCTTTTTTGTTGTTTTATTGTACCGAAAAGAGATTATGGAAATCTTAAAGTGCACAAAAATTCTAGTTTTCGAGAAAAAAAAACATCGAAGTCAAGGGAAACCTTCGAAATTCATTGACACGGGCTTTGAGCCTTTATATCTCAAAAACTAAAAGGTTTTGAAGGTTGAGGATCTTTTCGCTACATCGAAAAGTGCTCTGGCCTACTCTCAGAAAAACAATCAACCAAATAGTAAATTAACCTTCCTTATCAGTCAGATTTGAATTTCTGCAAAAAAAAAATGGGAAAAACACAAACTTTTTGCTTCGCCGTGGTCACACTCGAATCGTTATAGGGCATCAGGCCACCCGTGAAAATTTCGTAGATCAGATTCGGAAAATAATCGATTAGAATTCATTTTTCTCGGATAGTTTTCTTGTAAGCAGGGCGTTTTTGGCGCTAATTGAAATTTGCCGCATTTTTAAATTTTCTTTTCTGTCAACAGGACAGCCCTCATTAGCACGGCGTCCCCAAACGGGGTGGGGAGACGTCAAAAAAGTTTTGGCGCGAAATTTGAATTCTCAAGTACGCAGCCAAATGTATTCTTCATGCCGTTTAATTCTCAGTTCAATTTGCAACGATAGGTAGCTGTGACGTCACAGTCCTTTTATCCGAAGCGCGCACTTATTTTTTTTTTGTAAATTCAGAAACTTTGACGCCTCGCTCACCTTCCCTCACCCCATTAGGAATGCCGTGATTAGATAGTTTTTGAAAAGGGCGACATTTTTCACTGAACAGCAATGATTTTCAAACCGGAAAACGCACCGAAAACGCCGCACTCGGTTGAGAAAAATGGATTCCAACTCACTCCAAACGAGTAAACATCCGACTGGCTAATGAAAATGAAGATGGTCAAATTTTCGGGAGCCAGATATCTGGTCTGCAATTTTTCCGGCGCCTTCATATAATAAGCGTGACCTCGATAAGCAAGACTGAAGCCCGCGATTCTAAGCTGGAAAAGGCCAAAAATTAATGCATTATTTCTCCTCGATTCTCCCACAGTCCCATTCTTCGAGAGGAGGCAGTTCTCGGCGCAAATGTTCCTGTGAATCACTCTCTTCTCGTGTAGATACTGCAACCCTCTCGCTGCCTCGAGGCTCAATTGCAAAAGTCGTTTATTGCTTGTCGTGTCAAAGTTGGTCAACAGAAATTGCAAGAGGGTTCCGCCTGAAAAGAAAAAAAAACGACTATCTGGCAAAAAAAAGCTGCAGCAGCGAAAAAAATTGTCACGCCCATTTGTTTTCCGTAAAGTTTTGTGTGTCGTGTGCATACACCGCGGCGCTCTCGCACAAGTAATTTTCGCGAATTTCCGAAATTCAGTTATATTTTTCACTCTCTGGCGGCTATTTTGAATTTCGCGGAATGGATTCAAAAAAAAAAAATTGATTAGAAAAATGGCCTTTTTTTCAAATGATAAATTGATTCGTCTCATAACCCATCAAACATGCGCCTTTAATATTCCCTGTTATTTGCGCTTTTCCCCATGACGTCACATGGAAACGGTGGAGGTTTTGACTCCACCCCCTTCATTTTTGGTCTTGCATTTTTTTTTCTACTAACAAAAACGCCTTTCGCAGAATTAATATTTCGATGTTGCGTCACGGTAACGAAATTCCCTGGTTTTCACGAACACTTTCTGAACCCCTTGGTTGGGTCGCGGCCGGGATCGAACCTCTAACCCTATAGACCCTAGACAAGCACACAACCTGTTGCGTTACGACACGCCGTTCTTGCAAGATCTCCTACTAATTTTGTGTATCCCTTTTCTCAATTTCGAAGCACCCACCCTCCATGTACTCGAAGATGAACTGGAATGGCATTTTGTGTATCTGCCAGCCGTGACATATCAAAATGTGCTCGTGATCCAAACACAGCAACATCCGGGCTTCTTCTATGAGCTTCTCATTCAAATCGTACGTGTTTGGACTATCTTTTTTCACCTACAAGAAATAGTTGAGTCATTCAGAATTTTCCCGTTAAATATCATTCGAAAGAGTAGTCCACAGCGTTGGAAAAAGTTGGTCAGGAAAAACGACCGCGAGCACTCCGGTGTAAGTGCGCCCCATGGCTAATTAGATAGTTTATTCATCCGAACATCCATTTTGGGATCCTTTACGTTCTTTTTCCACTTTACCAGAGCAAGAAAACGTAAAAAAGGGGGGGGGGGAAGGCAAATTAGGGCCCCCTGGAGGGGTCAAAATTTTAGGAACCTCTATAGGACTTTAGGATATGACCCTGAGCCCCTTAACCTTCGAAAGGCCTTATAGGGACCCCTTGGAGCTCGACCCTATAGGGGAGGGGGGCTATGAAACCCCTATAAGGACCCCCCTCAAAAGTTTCTCATTTTGAAAACACGAAAATGTATAATTCAGTACTCGAAATATCACTGGAGCGCACTTCCTCCGGCGACTCTTCATGCCATTTTTCGCACCAAAATTTTTTTCTGTGTCATTTTGCCGGAGGCTTAAATTTATATTCCATACTACGACGGCGATTTGTTTCATGTTCTCGTAATAAACTAACCTGTTTTACAGCGACTTTAGCATCTTCTACCGAACCGAACTGTTCCAGATCAGCAATATAAACTTCTTTTAATTCTCCAGTTGCCAACTGAAAACCGTTCGGAAATATTGGCCAGATTATTTTCTAACTGTGATTTTGAAAGATCCTTAAACCTCGACATTTTCGGGAAATCAGAGCTGAAATTCCAGAAATGGCCTGTTTTAACGGATCATAAAGGTTTTTTTCGATTTCAGAGTTACCTTTCTCAAAAAATAGGAAGTTTTGCAAGTTCAGATTTCAAGGATCTTCGTCTGATACATCAAGGAGAATTCTGGTCATTTTTGAGAAAATTGCGAGGTAAAATGGCCTTTCTTGTTATAGTCTGTGTGCCACGACTTGAAATTTTACCGAGCGACATTCCGCTGTTTTGCTGCGTGCGGTCGCGAAGCGTTTTTGCCTTTGCAAGCCTGGGTAGCGTTCTTTTTGGTTATCATTGCTGGTAGATAGACTGTTTCACTGGGAGCACGTGAAAATCAAGTAGTGAAATGAAAGAAACAACTAGAAGCAAAACCGAGATTCGTAAAAGCAAAAACGCTTCGCGACCGCACGCAGCGCAACAGCGAAATGTCGTTCAGTGAAATTTCAAGTCATGGTGCACAGACTATAGCAAAAATGAAAGACAAGGAAATTATTTTTCAAAAAAAATTTGATTTTTTAAAAGTCGCATTTTACGAAAAATCATACTTTAGCCAATATTTTGCAATTTTGAAAATTCGAACTTCCAATTAAAGGTTTGCGCAGGTAGTGACTATACGGGAACTTACCTCTAGACCTTTACACAATTTTGATGGTAGGAAGGATTTTTGGGTACGCGAATATTCGTGAGCGTTAATTGTGCATACACCAATCTTGGAGGCTCGAATCTTTGAAAATTTGAATCTTTGCAAACGATTCTTGGCAATATTCACCTCTTTTCTGATTTTTTTTATAATTTTTTTCCAATGTTTTTTTGTTAACAGAAGTTGATGGAGAATATATACAGAGTGAATGAAAAATGTGGCAGCCGTTCTGCAGCGAACATTTGACTTCGTGTATGTGAGAGAGACGCATTATTTGATAAAAAGTTAGTTGAAAAAAATCATACAGTGTTTATTTTTGGTCGAAACACGGCATCTTCACAATAAAACGACAAAGGAAAAAAAATGTAGGAAAAAAAAGAAGGAAATTCAAAAAAGAGGGGAATATTCCCAAGAATCGTTTGCAAAGATTCGAGCCTCCAAGATTGGTGTATGCACAATTAACGCTCACGAATATTTTGAAAAACTTTGAAAAACTTTATTCAGTCTTCAAAGAAGGTACTCTGCTGAATCATGGAATATTTGAAGAGTTGTTTGTCGGTTTGGGAAACTTTCGTTGATCAAACGTAGACGGCGCGTAGAGCATCTCGTCTTTCTTGTGATAGTAGTAGACGATTTTCGAGCGTTTCCGACGATCACTGCTTCTCCATGTAGGAACAGTACGGCGCCCAGCTTGTCCAGGGCTGACGGGCGTCGGATTAAATCTCAGACGAGAGCGGAAATGAAGACCGACCACTCGGGTGGTAGAAATGAGATAATATAGCCACGAATATTCGGGAACCCAAAATTCCTTCCTAACATCACAATTTTCGAGCTTCCTCACAAGAGTTTTTGTGGTCAAAAAAACGTTCCCTAGTCAGAAAAATTCAAATTACAAACCAAAAAAGACTCGACTCGTTATTAATTGTATTTTTTGCGACAATTTGCCGGGGTTTTCTGGAATTTCGACGCAAAATGCCTTTGAAAAGACACATTTTTGCTTTCTTTCAAAACTCACCGTCTCGACTCTCTTCAATGCATTTTGTCTGTATTGGAAATATCTGTTAGGAGCGGGGTAAAACAGCTTAATATTGAGCGATTCCTGAAAATAGCTTCTTTTTTTGCGTCAATTTGTCGTTTTTAACTGCTTTCATGCGGTTCGGTTGTTCGTGGTTTTCTTAGTTATTTGTTTTTTTTTACTATAGAAGTACAGTATGGGACGAAAAAGGCGTTTCTAAACTCCCGAAGATCTATTAATTTTTACCTATAGGTAATCCTTCCGGATCTGAAAGGCGAGGGGGGCGAATAAATGGGCGGGACGCGTAGCGTGTGCGTACGCGGTTCTTGGCGCGAGTTCCATTCAACCGCCACCGACTATTCAAAAATCTCCGTCACCGCTCTTTTTGGATTGAACTCGTGCCAATAACCGCGTACGCATCCGGCCCATTTCTCCGTCTCTCACCTTTCAAGGATTGACTATATCAACTTCTTTAATATCTATCTACAATGCTTCATAAAAGCTAACGCTATACGGTTCAAGAAGTTTCGAAGGTTTCTACAAAGCAAGTAGATTAATAAGGAATTCGAGCAAAATGAAATTCCTGTATAGTCTGTGTGCCAAGACTTGGAATTTCACCGAACGACGTTCCGCTCAACCGCTGCTTTGCGAAGCGTCTTTGCGAGACTCGCGGCCGAGCACGCAGCGGAACAGCGGAATGTCGTTCGGTAAAATTCCAAGTACACAGACTATCTTTACGCTTCGAAGAAGTTATAAATATGATAAGAATAGATAAAAAGGAACGCGTGATTGCGTGTATATCTTACCTTGTTTGGATTAAAAATATAGTAGGCGAGCAAATCTTGAAAGTTTTCGAAACACATCTTGTCGTCAATGAAAATTTCAGTCTCTTTACTGCGGCCGTCTTTACTGACAATGTAGTCTTGGATGAAAACCGGCTCGTCTCGACCGTAATTTTCGTCCTTATCTGAAGATTTTATCCTGTTTCTCAAATGTTCCATTCAAATTTAAGGAAGTTCTTCAATCAGACGAAAGAAACGAGGCAAAGCAACAATTTTTCAGCTCATCCCGCGTCAATTTGTCGCGATTTTCGTTTTCTCTGAGCTAGAGAACTCTTCCCGTCAATGTGCGCGATATTTATCGCTGCATGCGCCTTTAAAGGCATAGGGGCAGTAAAAAACGGTGTTTCAGTTCAAAGCAGTATTTTGTAGAGCTTTTCATTGCAAACCGAACGGTGAACTTGGAAACGTACAGAAATTCCTAGTTTTGGAGAAAAAATAATTCAAAGTCGGAGAAAAGAAAGCTTGAGTTCCCGCGAAAAAGGCGCCTTGCAGTAAAGTTGCTCTATGGACAACAGGGTTCGCCATCTTCCGGATTCTCGCTTTTTTCTTCGTTTCTTTTAATTTTCAATTTTTTCTGTTGTCACCAGAGTTTTTTTCGTCACCAAAGCCTTCGATTCATGTATAATTTGCAAACTTTGATCGCAAAAAAGCTTTTCTGGTGAAAAATGATGATTTTACACAGGTTTCGATTGGGATAGCGATTATTTGTGTTTTCTTTAATATCACTGTGTGTTTTCGGTTTTCTTAATCAATTTTTCAGAGAAGAAACCCTTAATTTGAAGCAGATTTTTTGAGTACACCATTCGATTCGCAATAAAAAACTATATAAGATGCTGCTTTCACCTGAAACCCCATTTTTTACTGCCCCTATGCCTTTAATATAACGCAAATTTTAGGCCGATCGAATTTGGAAGTCAGTTTTTTTAAAATTCTGGCGATTATATTTATAGTCTATTTGCCACGAGTTGAAATTTCATGGAACGACACTCTTTAGTTTTATTTTTTAAATCGAAATAGCGGAGTTTCGTTCCATGAAATTTCTGAAAAATGTTCTCAAATCTTAATGAACACTCATTTGCACTCGATTTCAGGTCAATTTAAAAAGGTTGACATGAAGTTTATTGTACAAAAAACATATTCTACTATTTTAAGGCGCCAATATTTCGTTTTTCAAAACCTTATATCTAACCAAAATCGAGAATTCTACGCATTTTGGACACTTAAAATAATTTAAAACTGAAAAAATGGCCGAACCGACCGATATTTGCACGTTAAAAAACAGTATCAAAAATAAAATTTGAAAAATTTCGAAAAAAAACTGTGAAACAAAAAACCGGAGATGTACGACCCGGTGACGTCACGCAACTAAAGTGTAAACACGCAATGCGCATATTCGCATACAGTACTCTCCCCAAATGGAAAACTCGCTCTTGTCGTAGTACCCATGAACGTAGTTAGGACCTTCAAAACCGGACGCATTTCCTAACAAATGGGTTCAAATCCAAACTTGGCTTGGATCTCTCGTTCAAGAGGATATGAGAAGAAAAGTTACCGTCGCTCTCGGTCCTTGTATACTCCAATGGCACGGCCACGGATATCACAAGATCGTCCTTGCCCCCCTCGCCTGAAAACAACCAAAAGAAATGATTTTTTTCGGAATGTTACTTTCACTGTAGTTAAATTTTCTGACGAGGAACGCTCCGCCGCGTCGCAAGAACATTCGGGTTTCCATCTGCGGGAGAAACCTGGAAAAACGATGTAAAGCTTCGCGAAAACCTGCACTTACCCGTGATTAAACCATAACTGATCTATAAACTCGTCATCTTCGACTGGAGCATATTTATTTTCTAGTCGCATCAGTAGACCTGTTGAACAGAGAAAAGAATTATTCGAACTTTTGTTTTTTGAACTTGAACGTAATTTTACTTTTTGATTGGGAATTTACTCAAAATCGGCCGGGTCACTTCTTGATGAACCAGATGAAGTTCCTGAAAGTCTCAACCCGAACAAGTTCCCAATTTTTTGAGAAAGGGCACTTTAAGTCGTATCAAGAGCCGTTGAAACAGGCCATTTTGAGTCCTTGAGCTGTCATTTCTCAGAAAGTATGAGATTTCGCGGGTCTGGTACATCAAGGAGTTTTCCGGCCAACTTTCGAAAAATTCCCAACCGCAAAGGAACATAAACTTCCTTGTGAGGGAAAAAAGAGGTTATTCGAAAGCATTTTTAATGGCGAGAAAAACGTGATATTTAAAATATACCTTCTAATCCAGCATCGAGAAATACAATTCCCACTTTCCCAAAAAAAGAAAAAATGAAATCCCACTCGTGGGAAAAAATTGCGCTAGAGGAAAGTTTGCTCTATGAACAATGTCGCCATTTTCCATTTTTGCCCGTTCAAACTTGCTTTTTTTGTTGCTTTATAAAAATTCATATCATGGTCCAAAATTTTCATGGAAAATTTGATTTTAGAGCGTTTTATGCCCAGTACCTTGTTATTTTAATCCAAATAATCCATTTTTCTCGTCCTTGTGCGGAGCGGTCGCGATGCGTTTTGGCGTCATTTCAGAAGTCATCGCTACAGGGGAATTTCCAGAGAATTTTATTCATTAAAAAAACCAAAGCACCTTTTTGAAAAAGGTCTAGCGAATCAATGAAATTTGTCAACAGGAACGTGAGAAAATCAAATATAAGAGTGCGATAAATTTTGGATTGGCGCCAAAACCGCGTTCTTTGAAGCCAAAGAAAAAAAACATAGTTTTTAAGTTGACTAGGGAATGTCTTTTCCTAAAAAGAAACAGGTATTTTCTCAGCCAGAGGAACGAGAGCTATCTACACTTCAAACATAATCTCATTGAGACATCGAGATTTTCGACTTTTGAGGGCTCATAACTTTTTTCACAGACCTCGGTGGCAGCTTTTGAGACCGGATTTGGAGTCAGCATGAAAAACTACATCTAGTGAGCCTAGTCCTCTCCGAAAGTCCCACTGTGTTCCCAAACGGGGTGAGAAGACGTCAAAAAAAAAAATGTGACGCGAAACTGGAATCTCAAGCGAACAGTCAAAGGCGATCAAACAAAACAAGTTATTAACGTTGAATATTCATGTAATTTGTGACGTAGAATGACGTCATTTTTTCCGGAGCGCGTGCTTATAACTTTTTTTTTGTAAATTCAGAAACTTTGACGCCTTCCCTCAACCTATTAAAGGCATAGGGGCAGTAAAAAATGGGGTTTCAGGTTAAAGCAGTATCTTATATAGTTTTTCTTTGTGAATCGAATGGTGTACTCAAAAAAATTACAGATGTGACAACTTTAGAAGAAAAACGCGATTTTACTTTTCCGCCTTTAATTTTGAAAAAAGCTTTGGATCGGTACTCAGACAACTGATTACAGTAGTCGTGCACGCGATGTTGCGGACGTCTCATTAGACTCGCATTTTGTGAGAAATAACCGGATATCTGCTCCAAATTAAGGGTTTCTCCTCTGAAAAATCGATTAAGAAAACAGAAAACATATTGATAATTAAGAAAACACAAATAATCGCTATCCCAATCGAAACCTGTGTAAAATCATCAATTTTCGCCAGAGAAGCATTTTTGGGATCAAAGTTTGCAAATTATACATGAATAGTAAGCTTTTGTGACGAAAAGAACTTTGGTGACAACAGAAAAAATTGAAATTTGAAAGAAACGAAGAAAAAAGCGAAAATCCGGAAGATGGCGAAGCCTGTTGTCCATAGAGCAACTTTACTGCAAAGCGCCCTTTTCGCGGGAACTCAAACATTCTCCTCTCCGACTTTGAATTATTTTTTCCCCAAAACTAGGGACTTCTGTACGTTTCCAAGTTCACTGTTCGATTCGCAATGAAAAACTCTATAAAGTACTGCTTTGAACTGAAACACCGTTTTTTACTGCCCCTATGCCTTTAACTTTAAGGATTTCCGTGGTATAGTCTGTTCAGATTTTGAATGTCAAATCGATGCTCAAGCTCCGCCCATTATGGTGCGATAAACCAATCAGAGAGCGAACCATCCACAGAGTGTTTTTGAATGACGTCATTGCACTTGACATTAAAAATCTGAACAGACTATATTACAAAAGATCTTTAATTGTCTCTAATCTGTAACATTGAATCGCTCACTTTCTAATTTTATCGCTTTTGGTGCCGAGCTCAAAGCCTTGTTGTCCGTTTCCACTAACCCTGAAAGTTCCACTTTTCTCCTTGTATTTCGTATAAAAATTTAAATCAAAGCTTTCAAAAGTTTCCTTCTAGTTTCTGTGAGATATGAAGAGAAAATTTACACTCAGTTTGGAAAACATCGTCCGTGCCGCTCTTCGCCCTGTCTCCGCCTCCGAAAAACCACGAGATACCGCTCTCTTGAATATTATTTTTTTCAAGGAGAGGTTTTAGATGTTTCAGTGTGATCAGAAGGGAAATAACGTTTTTTTTTTCTAAGTATAGGACTTCTGAATGAAAAAAGATACCAAGAAAACAAATTATTTCACGCTGATTTCGAAATTTGGCTTGAGAATGGTCTGTAAGACAAGATTTTCGAGCTTTCAAGTTTGTAACCCCTCGCCAAAAAATATATAAATATATATATATATATATATATATATATATATATATATATATATATATATATATATATATATATATGAGTATCTGAGCAACTCTGAAAAACCAAACATTGTCCTCAAAATTGATGCTAGATTTCCTTGAACTACCCAGAAAGTTTTCAAAACTTTTAGAGGCCATAACTTTTTAAACAGAAGCTCTAGACAATTTTCAAGCGCATCTTCGAAATCAGCCTAAAAAACTACATTAAACGCTGAACATAATTCAAAAAAATATGCTCCAATTCTTCGTGAAGCTGGCTTTATCCCTTTAATAATATTCAAAACGAACTGATTCGCTGAAATACCAAGCCACTGCTGTTCTTGACTTCTTCCTGGGGATCTGTAAAACTTTTTTTGCTTTTTTTAGCCTTTTTTTTAAATTCATTAAAATCTGAAACTAAGAAAAATGTCCTTTTTTATAATCTGTGTGCCAAGACTTGAAATTTCACCGAACGACATTCCGCTGTTCCGCTGCGTGCGTTCGCGAAGCGTCTTTCGAATATAAGTCACGCTTCCAATTGATTTTTATTGCTGTGGGAGCACATGAAAGTAGAGTACCTTAAGAAACAAAAAAAAAACATTAAAAACGCGACCAAGCGCAGCGGAACAGCGGAATGTCGTTTGGTGAAATTCCAAGTAGTGGTACACAGTCTATAACTGGCTTATTAGACGAAGCGCCTCTCACAACTTACAAGAAATTTTATTCATTTCTTTATTTTCAAGAATCCATAAAAAATAAAACTAGAAAGCTGGAAAATGTGGAAAGACAACAAGAAATTGTTTTTTCCTGGCCTTTTTTGCATTTTTTTTTAATGTGTTCAAAAAAATCCATTTCAAAAGCTCACTCAAATATAAGTCGTTGAAAAAGGTCAAAATCCCTGAAAATTGGCCAGACTACTCCTTGATGTACCAAAAATGGATTAAGGAATTTTCAACCCGTACAATTTCCTAGTTTTCGAGAAATTAGGTCTCAAAGTCCAAATATCCTCCTATTTGAACGGATTTTGATGGTTTTCTGTGGATTTGAGGTGTCCTTTCTCGAAAACTAGGAAGTTTTGCAGTTCGAGATTTCCACAATCTATTGTTGGTGTATGAAGGAGTATTAGGGCTGATTTTCAGAAAATCCTCGAAGTAGAATGACCTTCCAGGATCCAACTTTTCAATGAAGATCCTAGATCTTTTTTAAAGTCAACAGCTCTGTTCGAACTCTAAAAAAAAAGCAATACCTCCGGGGTCCATCTTTGCTCCTTCCACGTCCACTGACACCATCTTGATTCGATAAGAGAGTAGAAGATTTTGACAACAAGCGAACTTTTTGGAATGATATTCTTCTTATTAAAAATACGTGGCATTGAATTTTCACTTTTTTTTTAGTTTTCGTTAAATCGCAAACCGCTACTCCCTGACTTCATTTCATGACACCATTCGTAACACAAGAAATAAGCGTAATCGAAATATTTATTTTATTCACGTGAACATGATTCAGCAGATTATTATTATCTCATTTCATCACGTCGACTGGTCGGTCTCTTTGCCGCTCTCTCATGGGATAATATTCCGACGCCCGTCAGCCCTGGACAAGCTGGGCGCTGTACTGTTCCAACATGGTGAAGCAGTTTATTCGTTGGTACTACCAACGGGCCCACATTATTTCCCAACGCTAGCTGTCACTCCGGGACGTATTGGACAAAGATTGTGGACCGTAACCCGCGCCGACGACTAACTCTTCGATTATACCATGATTCAGCAGAGATTTTCTTCATCTTACTCTGAAGACTGAATAAATTGAATTGAATTGAAATTGAAATTGAAAAAATTGAAGAATGGGAAGAGCCTGAATTGCGCCTTTGCATTAAAACTGCGCCTACAGATTCATGCATTACTTAAGAAAATAGGCTTAGTTTTAAGGCTTCACACGGAGGCGGAGCGCGCATAGCGCGAAGCCGACTGTGGCTCGCTTCGAAAAAACTGAGCCACAGTGAAAAATTCGTCAAATAAATGAATACTTGACATAAAAAGCATTTAGTTTCAAAACGTGGTCACTAATAACAATATCAGGTAGCTCTAAACAATTTGCAAACTTGATACGCGTAGCGAAAAAATCTGAAAAAAAAAGAAAAAATTTTAAAGGAGCATTCTATGCGTAAGCGTGGGCCTCGACGCCTCGGATTATTTCAAACCTTCAAAAGGTTTCTAAAAAAAGTAAGACAATAGAAGAATGAAAAAAAGTTTCCAATCAAAAGGGGATTTTCAGTGTGATACCTTTCTGTTTCTCATGTGACCGGAAAAGTTTTCACGTCGAATCTAATTTTATAAATTGGAACGTAAAAAATGAATAAAATGATATGGCTGCGTGTGCGAATTTTGCAAATGAAGATGATGTCATAGGGATGACGTCAGGGAGTAGCGGTTTGCGATTTAACGCGAAGTTTTTTTTATTGATTGTATTTTTTGTTTTTTAATGACGCATAACTTTTCACGTTTTCAAAAAAAAAAATTCCAAGTGGTTTGAAGTTTTTTTATTGAAGGCAAAAAAGACAAAAATATGCTCTACCTGACGCGATTTCACTATTTTCGAGTGTCTGCGTCTCTCTGTTCCCTCACCGGCGAGGTCAGAGAAACATTGAAATAGCGCGTCAATTTGAGAGGGTCGCCGAGAGAATGGAGGGTGCAGAGAAGTACGGTCCTTCCAAGTCGAGAAAATTCCTCTTTTTTTTTACAATTTCTTCGGAATATTATTCAAGGACCTTTTCCGTTACGGTTTGAGATTTACAAACCGCATTTGGAATGGCTTTTTCGGCTTTAGTTGGAAGCCCAAAGCCTTTAATTGCAGTTTTACTGATTCTGCTATTTTCGATTGCACTCTATTTTTACAAAAAGCCACTACGCAGCCACGGCGCATTCCTTCAAGACCTTCTGAAGAATTTTTGCTCATATTTATTCAAATTTGAAAAGTTTGATAGAACTCTCATTTCTGTGCGTCTCTTGTCCCTCACCGGAGAGGTTTAAGAAGGAAGCAAAGACTGCAGAGTGCAGAGAAGTCATACAGTTCATATTTATCCTAATTTTCTCTCACTTCTCTGCGCCTCTTATCACTCACCTTTAAGGTATGAAAAGGAAGCAGAGACTGCAGAGTGCAGAGAAGTCATACTGTTTCAAAATTGGGAGAATGTGTCGTTTTTAGCGTATTCTTCAGCTTTAATACCAAAGTTAACACTTTCCAGGGTTTCAAAAACGAGATCGACGACGGCTTCATAAGATGTAGACCTCCCGAAAACCTGCCCCCCATTCGGCGCCATTTCTCTTAAGTGAGTAGACTGAAAATGGGTGAATTATGAGCCGTTTTGCGGTCTCGTTCTCAAATCTGAGTCGACAGATTCTCCCCAATGAGCAACGTTTTGTTTTTCAGTGATCCACGAAAATGGGAAGGTGAGAATTATTTTTTCCAATCGTAATAATTTAATTGAAGGTGTGAGGAACATACAAATGAAATATAGTTTTAAAAACCACCCTTTGCGCTTTAATAAAAGGTTTCCAGAAAAGAGAAAGAATTTTTTTCGATTTTTTTTAAATTTTTCGGACTCTCGGCTGTTGCGAACCTCACTATACAATTTTTAAGTTTAAAAAAAGTTCTTTTGATTTCTCTTAACCCATTCTACCTCGGCAAAACTCTCTTTTTTTCACGAACTATTTTCATGTTCGTCTGACCTCAATGTCGAGAGAAAAGAGGGCCCAGACATGTCAGAATGTTTCAAGTACGGCCAATTGGGAAATTACGGGATTTTTCGGCCATCGGACCTTGGTAACAGGCGCGCCCAGGAGCTTTTTGGGGAATTCTAGGGATCACTTAAGTGGTCTAGAGTTGCTGAAGTGATCCCTGAAATGCTCAGAAACGTACGGTTTGCTTTAGCAGAGTTCATTCAATATAGTTTCAACCAAATTTTTTTTTACTTGTCTTTTTCGATCGATTTCAATGGACCCTAGTCTGTTAAAATCAAAAAAACTTGATTTAAACTTTCTGAAGATTTCAACGACTAATTCCCAGCAAACGATTCCAATGGTCCGCCAGTTGAACCCCTCAAAAGGTCAGGACAATTAGCCGTGGAGCAAAGAAGACGAGGAAAAAGAAGAAGAAGGTGTTGCTGGCGGAACAACGGCCACCTGCGGTTTCGGAGGGGCGGCACTTCCGGAGCCGAAGCCGCTCCGAAGGCCCAAATCGACGCCGCGCCGCTTCAATGGATTCGGAAGCCGAGACCCTGCCACAGGTCGGTCGTTTGTCCTTTTCCTCCTCACTTTTTCCTTGAGCATTTTTGATCGGTCATTTTATGGGTGGTTCTACATCTACTTTCGGTCTGTACAAAAGAAATCTACTTTCTAAGCTTTTTCATCTTTGAAAATATTCTATATTTTTCAATAAGGATCAGAGAGCAAAATGGGCCTGAAGAGACGCCAGACAAGTTAGAGGTTTTGTTTCTCTGGCGTCTCTTCAGGCGACCTATTTTTCGTTTCCTTTTTTTGACTTTTTTTGCGTCTAGTTGAAGATTGTACAGCTAAGATGAGCGGTAGGAGAGAACAACAATGACTTGAAGAGACGCCAGAGAAAAAGAGATTCCAAACTTGTCTAGAGCCTCTCATTTTGTCGTATAAATCCCAATCTATTATCTGAAAAACCTCAGAGAGGGTCTCAGAAAATGAGAGAGCAATGCCGACCAATAGAGACGCCAGACAAGTTAGAGTCTCTTTCTCTCTGGATTCTCTTCAGGCGCGGTTGCTCTCTAGCTTCTTCTTGTTGGAATATCACTATTAATGATGTTCTTTTTTTATTCATATTTTTTTTTCTTGACAAAAAGTACCTTAAAAATCATCTCGGGAACAAAATTGATGCTTTGAAAAAATGTAAAGCTACTCACTTTTCCCTTTTTCTCCCAGCTTCCCTACGATTTTCCGAGTTTCCCAGCATTTTCCGAGCGGACCTCATCAATTGGCGAAACGGAAGCTCAAAGAAATAAAGACCCCTTTGTTGACTTCTCATCGAATTGGGTTCAAAGCTGAAGCTCGATGTGAGAATGAGGGTTTTTCTAGAAATCTTTTTTTTCGAAATGTGTCCTTGGAGCAATTTTGGTCCTTTCTAGCCAGCTATTTTCAGGACTGTCCAGTTGATGAATTTTCAAAAAAATTATTTTCTTTTTGAAATCCTAGGGGCTAGAAGAGTCTTCATCACACTTTGGTTCGAAGAAAAAACTAAGATTCTTCTTTAGATTTTTTTCTGTTAGAATTTTTGGAAGGAAAGGAGTTTTACTGCTCACTGAAATAATAATTTTTAGACTTCACTTCAGCGTAATTTTTTTAAAAATTTTTTTATCATTTTTTTAATCTTTTTTTATAAATTCTCTTTTTTTGGGTTCTCTGATGACTACAAGAGAAATAATTTTGAAAAATTTGGATTTTTTTCAAGAAGAACATCTCTAGTTCAAAAATAAACAGGTCATTAGAACTTTTCAATTTTTTTGAAAGTTCACGAAAAAAACAAATTGTTAATTTTTTTGACTTGGATTTATAGTATATCAGTGAGATAATACTGTGGAATGCGAATTTTACTGTTTTAATTTTTATTTTGAGCTACAGCTTGAAAACTTGAGTGTTTTCCCTGCGATCTCAAAGTTGTGAATAAAAAGATAAAATAAAAAAGTTTGAACTCTTAGTTTTTCTAAAGCTTGGAATTTGATGATATATAGCTCACGGCTGGCTTGAGCCATCGAAAAAAGGGTCCTAACACGATAACGCACGAGATAGCGCCTGGCTCGTGGAGAGCTCAGACAGGACACGCCCCCTTAGCGTCCCAAGCTGGCCGTGAATCAGCTATATCAAGTTGTTGGAATTGAAAAATCATATTTTTTTTTTCAATCTAAATTTGATCATTACTTGACGTCAAACTCTGGATAACCAGTTTAAGAATTTGCATTTGCCAAGTTTCCGACCCTCAAATGATAAAAATTGCACTTTGGTTCAACTTCCTCATCTCCAACAGTCTGGAGGAAATTTGATTTCAACGAGACTCCACTGGACATAAGACGCATATCATCCGAAAATGTGAAGTGCAGAAGCGGCCGAAAAAAGGCAGACGAGCCCTCGACCCCACACACACAATCCGGTGTAATTGGCAAGCCGGCGAAACTTCGCCTTTTTTTTCTGGCGCCACCCCAAGAAAAATATGGCCGTATATATACATATTTCTATCGAGAAGTGCGATCTCGGTCGGCTCTGGCCACTCAGCAACACAAAGGCGAGACCTTTTTGAATGATATTCCAAGGCCGGAAGCCTGTCGCGCTGAATCGAAACCGGCGCTATGCCGTCCGACGTCCTCTTAGAACTGAGAAGCCAACCGTCAGGTTCATGCTCGACGACGAGGAGCTGGATGAGCAGCAACCAGAGTTTGAGGTATTCTTCGAGTTGCTTCAGAAGCTTTCGGCTTTTTAAAGCTGAATCGAGATCCTCAAGTTGTTAGAAGCTTCTAGCTGAGATTTTGAGAGTTCGAGGTTGTGAGCTTGACCTAAGGCTCATCAGTTTAGGATAATACCATTCTTAAAGGTCTTTAGAAGCTCTAGGCTTTAATTTTGGGTTTTCAATGCTGAAATCGAAGCAAAGGGGAAAGAATTTGGAATGAACTATGTCTTGAAGATTCTAGACGCTCTTGGCTGTGTTTTTGTGAATTTTTGATCTTGACCTTAGGTTCATCAGAAGGGGAAGGAGGAGTTAGAAATTAAAAAATTTTTAGAGTTTCTCTAGATTTCTTTTTTTGCTAAAAATGAGAAAGAGCATAGGTTTGAGCTCGACGACGAGGAGCTGGATGAGCACGAGCCCGAGTTTGATGAAATCTTCGAGTAGCTCCAGAAACTTTTGGCTTTTTTGAAATAAATTGAGTTCCTCAAGCTGTTAGAGGTCTTTGGCAGACATCTTGAGAGTTTGAGCTTGACCTAGGGCTTTTTACGTTGAGAATGAGCAAGAGTAGGAGTTTGAGTTAAGATTGTACTAGCCTTGAATTTTTCGAGAGGCCTTGGCTCTCATTTTTGTTTTTCAAAGCTGAAATTGAGGCAAAGGAGGAAGAATCTGGGATGGACTATGTCTTGAATTTTTTAGAGGTTTTTGGCTTTTTTTGAGTTTCTGAGCTTGACCTCATCAGGTTGAGCATGGAGTAAGAGAAATGATTTGAGATGATACTATTCTTGAACTTGCTCTAGTATCCTTTAGGTTTGATTTTTAAGCTTTCGAGCTGGGAATAAGGCTGAATAAAGTATTTTTTTTCAAAGTTTGTATTGATTTTAAAGCTGTAGAAAATTGAGGGCAGAAAAATTGATGTAATCTTCATCTTGAATTGGTCCTAGAGAATTTTCGCTTTCGAGGTAAGATCAAGGGCAATTTCTAGTAGTTTGAAGTAATTTTGAGCTAATCCACTGAAAAGTTGGACCCGAAGGCCCGAGAGAGGCTAAGAAATAAAATATCCCCTCTCGTCTCCTGTGAATTTGCCATATTTCCGGGTACCCGTCAACTCGTTGGGGTTGACTCTTTCCCGTGTATTGTTATTTCTCTGCCTATTCCTTCACTTGATCATCTATTCTTCAATTATTTTTTTTAAAAATTTTTTTTAAATGTTAAATAATGGCAGTGAATAAACTATCTATGAAAAATTAGACCAAAAATAACTGATTCTCAGCCTCTTTTACTGTTTACGGATTCATTCTACTGCATGTAAGTTATTCAGGATTTCCTGTCGAAAGCGTTCGGAAAACAAAAAACGGATGTTTTTTTCTAGTGGAATCAAAAAAATCTCGACTGACCCGAACTTTAATTTATTATCACAAAGGCTTTTTAAAAAAAGTAATAATTGAAGCTAAAGTTTCCAAAGTTTTACGCTAAATGGCTTTTCAAGCATTTCAAGCTTCGTTTTTTTATTTTATTTTTATTTTTGAACTTTTTCCCTACAGTTTTGGTTCAAAAAATTTCTTACATGGAACCAAAAGAAATTTTTATCAGTAGAGCGCGAATGCTCTAGCACGGGTGGCTATTTTTCCTACATATTTTTGGGACCCCCTTTTCAGTTAATCAAAAGAGGCGTTTATAGGCGAAAAGCCAACTTGCAGAATTTTCGAAATTTCCATTTTGAAGAGACCTCCTCCACTCCAAAATCCCAAACTTCGAGGCATCCATAAGCTCGTCGATCTCTGTCACCACTTCTGCGGGGGTCACTTTCTCTTCCGCGCGAGCTTCATCTCCGGGACCAAGGTGGCGGTTGACCGGCCACGGCCTCAGATTCTCGTGGGACCGACGGCCCTTCATTTGTCAATGGAACTCTTGCATGTCACAGCGACACATATCTTCCCCCGCCTTCTCTATTCTTTTTCCCCTTTTTGAGCCGATCCGCCCTCGTTCTTTTTGGGACTTTTGTTCCTTTTTTAATTCTCGGCCTTCATTTGTTCTGAAAATTCTTTTTTTCGTTTTTTTTTGTTTGGTTTCCAGCATAGTTGTATTGAAATCAGAAAAATCCGTATAGGAAAAAAAAGCCAGAGAAGTTTTTTTACGATTTGAAAGAACCGGTTTTTCACCGCCAGCACTTCGAAAATTTAAAGGAGCAGGGAGTTTTTCGAAAATGGGTCCCTTGTTCTCAACAGTGAGAAACGGAAATTTTTTTTGGGAAATAAGAAATTCAGATACTTTTCATATAACTCTAAGAAGTCTCAAAAAAATTTCCAATTTTTTTAAAAAAATTCACTTTTAACCTTCTGAAATTTTAAAGGAGCATTACAACTTTCCGAAAAATGGGTCCTGACGAGTTTTTTTGTTTTTGGCGGTAGCATTGAAAAACTTTGCAAGATGGTTTAACCTCTACGCCACAGAATTTTGTTCGTGATCGAGCTTCATGATAATAAATAGATGGCTTTTTAAATTTTTTTATAGTTTGCTCCATGGATATTTTCGCATATTTGAGTGTTTAGTTCAAAAAAACTCTACATAGCTTATTTTTTTAAAAACTTTCTTCATCTAAACTCAACCTTTGATCATAAAAATTGGATGAAAATTCAAAATTCCTTGAAATTGAATCAAAAGGACAAGTAGAAGAAGTACTTTACCCTCGTTCAAATCTGATGGTAAATTCCAAATGCACCCCTCGAGAAAGAGGGAGCAAGTGTGTGATGGATATAAAGGCTGGCGACGTCGATCGGAGCCGCCGATAAGATTCGCCACGAAATGGGCCTTCCGTCGCCAAGATTCCTCCTTTCTGCAGAAGCTGGTCGATGGCCCTGATCGCATGGACCAAAAACCGCCGCCCGACGAGTACCTCGACCGCTTCGGCAACGTCGTCGTCGACGATGACGACGACAATTCCAAGGTTTCCTTTTTTCGAAAATTATGATAAAAATTTTTTTTTCACACATTGTGTTGTGGTACTGGGAAAATTTATAGTGACCACTATAGAGGCTCGCCAAGAACTACTTGGAGAGGACACTAAAGTGGCCACTAAACCCACCTCTATAGTGGCCTCTATTTTCCGTTTTAGTGACCACTTCAGTAGTTTTTCATCCAGTATTCCTTCCAGTAACTCTGATAATTTTAAAACAAGCAGATTGGACCAGTTATGTTGATCCATTGACCCCTAAAGTGGCCACTGAAATTTTTAGTGGTTTAGAAGTAGCACTTAGACCTCTATAGTGGCCACTAATTTTTAACCCCTCAAGTGGCCACTAAAACGTCAAAACCCTATAGCGGCCACTTCAAATTTTCCCAGTACATGGGCCAAGGAACATTTTTTAGTCCGAAAAGGATGCAAAATTGTTTTTTCCAAGCTTTTTTTTATATCTTTTCCAGGAAAATTGCCTTTTATCTTTCTTTTTCTGAACCTTCTTCTTTTCAAGACCTTTTCATCTCTTTAAAGAAAGGACTATTTCCATTAAAAATACTTCAGAACGGCTTTTTTTGAAAAAAACACCTTTTTCAGGTAATTTTTAGTCTCCGCCCTTGTAGAAGGAAATGATTTAGGTTTTCGTCCTACTTTGAATTTTCTACAATAATCTTAGAATTTATTTTCCTTTGATTTGAAAATCAATGAAAGGTTAGGACACAAAAGCAGACAATTTTTTTTAAATTTTAATAAATTCAGTTTAAACTAAAAATTCATCCTTTTCAATTAACCATCAAGTCAGGCAAGAAAGGTTTTAAATTCAAGAAGAAGAAAAAAAGTTTTTCTTTTTGAGGTATTTTTGTAAATTTTGTGCGATTTTTTTCAATAATTCGAGTTTTCATGGAATTTATTTTATTTATCATTCTCAAAGCTTCATAACTATTATCAAATTTTTTTATCTTCAAATTTTTTTCACCTAACATCCCATCTAAAATCGAATCTTACAAATTATTCGAAAAATTCATATTTTTTCCATAATTCAATTCAAAAACAGCAGAATAATCAAAGATTTCCAGTCACTCCACGTGCCGCCTCTCTTCTCCTCACGACGGGTCTCGTCACGAAAATCTATACGGTCATTATCCGAAGATGAGTATCAGTACGCCTCCGTCAAGACGCTTTTCATCAATTTCTGCGCCAGGACCAGCTCCCACGGTGTTCCTTTCGTCGGGTAAAACATGATGAGTTTTCTCGAAAGTCTCGCTTTTTCCAGAACCTCTTCGTTTTTCGGCCCTTTCGTTTGGCTGGCCGTTTTCCTGTGCGCCTTGATGTTCTTCCTGTTTCAGACCTATTGGACCATGTCCGATTATTTGCAATATAGGACTATTATTGAGATGCAACTACGGTTTGAAGCAGGTTCGCTTTTTTCGGGTTAATGTGCTCTGTTGACAGATTTTTTGAGCAAGGGCTGAAAAAACTTATATTTGGGGGTATCATTTAGCGAAAGCTTGCTCTATTAAAAAAAGGGAAATATCTGAGGATTTTTTTCATTTTTTTGCATTGAAATTTTTTTCGCAAAAAAACTTGAAACTAAAAATTCGCCTATTTTTTTCAAAGGAAAAGTTTGCTCTAATGTTAGTTTGAAAGACTGCGGCTTTGGAGGCGAACTCTGCAGAAAAACTTGAAAGAAATGAAAAAAATGTTCTTAACGCAATTAAAAAAATTAATAATCTCAAGATTGAGAATTTATTAAAAAAACACGAAAATAGAGTTTTTTTCGCATGGGCTTTCGCGTGGCTGTGCATACACTGTAAACTCAGCTCACGCGCATTTTAATTTTAATTTTTTTTCCTTCCTTTCTCTTTCTTTCAAAATTAGTTCACACGTTTTAGCTTCAAAGTCAATTTGTTAAAAATTTTGGAAAATAAAGAAAAAAACGGGATGAGGTCAATATTAACAATTTTCGGCTTCAAAAAACGTTTCTACATCAGTAGGGCACATTTTACGTATTTCCTTTTTTAAGGGCTCTCTTTCAGATAGCTTTGTTCATTTCCCTAAATAAGTTTTCTTTATCTTCTTCTGGAACTTTTTTTTCGAGCTTTTCGAGCTACTCTCAGAAGACTTATCATCGATTTTTCCTACCGTATGTCTAAATTTATCATTTTTCCAGCCCCTTTTCCCTGCAGCGACCGTTTGCAATTTGAATGCCTTCAAATACAGCGAATTGATCCGCTATGAAGAGATCAAAGCCGGGGTCAGCTTTTTATTCATTTATTTACGGTTCATCAAGAAGAGAGCTTGCAGTTTGAATATTGGGAACGGGTGATAAATGCGAGAAACATGCGGGAGCAGCTCCGGAAAGACGGCAGCAGCGATGGAGGCGATCTCAAGAAGATCAACGTCAGAAAGTGCGGTTTTTCAAGAACATATTGTAGTTGGGACTTTAGGGTTTTGTATTTTTGGTGTTTAAGTATTTTTTTTTAGAGAATTAGAAAAGGAAAAGCAAAAGGCGAATTTAAAAGTAAGCATGAATATACCAGTTTTTTTCAAAGCTTATTATGTAATATTCGAGATGAAATTCGTTTATGCAGGTTTTTGGATCAAAACTAGATTATTAAAAAATAAAGTTGGTTGAGCACTGAAAGTTCGCTCTACTGAACTATCTGCCCGATTGGCTAGACACGCCATTTTTCAAAAGTTTTTTAGCGAAGTTATCCAGGAAAAGTCGTAATTAGAATTTCAGGAAGTGCGGTTTTCTTAAGATCTCATTCAAAAAATAGTAGTGGCGACTTTAGGGCTTTTTCATTCGTTTTCCGTTGAAGTATATTTCAAAAAAATTCAAGAAAAAAATCAGAAACTAGGCTTTTTCCAAAATAATAGCTTTTTATCTTTTTTTTTGTAAAAGTTCATGTGTTTCTGTATCGATCGGAGTCAGATGATTAAGAAAAAAACGGCTGGGCACTGAAAGTGCGCCCTACTGAACTATCCCTCTGATTGGCTAGAAATGCCTTTTTTCAAGAGTTTTGAAGCAATTATAGCCAGGAGCCGTTTTTATTACTGAGAAAGTTTTCATGACGTCATTTTATGAAGAAATGGAACTTGTTCCTTAAAATGAGAACGGTGGGACTCTGAAACAGAAATAAGTTTCTTTTCAGGAATTTTTGCTCCTTTCGAAGTAAAGATATTTTGGTTTTTTCACGCCATCATAGCTCATTTATCACGGAAAAACTGGTTCAGAAAAATGTCTTCTTCAGACGCCGTGAGAACGAGAAAAGAAGTTGGTCTTTCCAATAGACGACGGCGATGAGACGGGCGCCGAATATCAGCCGGTTTTCGTCCGATGCACCTGTATGAATACCGAACAGTGTGTTCCTAATAGAAATCCTCTGGAGGTGATAAGAAAAATCTAATCATAAAAATAATCATATTTCAGACGAATGCGTCGGTTTGTATGTGTTTCGAAGACGTGACTCGGGGCCTTATTTGGCCGTGTTATCCGACCACCGCATGGACTGTCAAGGTTTTCTTTTTAGAAACTTCGGTAGACGCTTCTGAGCATTCCTAGTAACCCTTTGAACAAAATCAGCCCTTTCAACTGACAAAGGTGCGGAAGTCGACACAAATAGCTACCGGGTAGAAACTTTTAAAAAAGTCATTCGGCGTATGGTAATCGGTGGTCGTTTTTATGCGACCGGGTACTATCTCTATGGTACCTGAGTCAAAGGGCGATGCAAGTAGCTATAGTCAATGTTTCGCAACTTGAAAGGCGAGGGAGGCGGAGTAAGGGGCGGGACGCGTAGCGTGTGCGTTCGCGGTTCTTGGCACGAGTTCAATTCAATTGCCGCCGACTATTTAAAAAGCTCGGCAACCGCTCTTTTTCAATTGTTTTCTATTATTTTATGATGCACACATGAACACAATCAATAAATAATTGAAAAAGGAATGAAAAAAGCGAAAAACGGGTTTTTCAAAGAGTAGATAGCGGTTGAATTGAACACGTGCCAAGAACCGCGAACGCACACGCTACGCGTCCCGCCCCTTGCCCCGGCCTCCCTCGCCTTTCAAGTCGGGTAACATTGACTATACCGGGTAGCTACCTGACATTCCTGACTTCCACCGGAAAATCTGGAAATGCTTTCCGAGTTGTTATTTTTTGTTTCAGCTTTACCCAATAAGACCTTGGAAGACTTGAAAAGGTTTGAAAAAAAAAACTGGTGCAAAATAAACGACCGATGTGCCAGCCAGTGGCAATCGCGAATTTCAGGTACTTACCCGGTAGCATCCAGATACCGATCAGGAACTATCCAGGTAGAGATAGTACCCGGTCGCATACAAATTTCCACCGGTTACCATACGCCGATTAATTTGAAATACTACCCGGCACCTGCTTGTATCTACCCCCCGATTCACCAGTGGATCTCTAGACTTTCCGGTTTATTTTACCGAGGTCCTATAGTTTTCCAAATACGGTCTGCAATTAAGTTTCGGGCTCCATGGCTAACTTTTGAAGTAATTGCCAAAGTTGGAAGTGCGGAAAACGGGTGCAAAATGGCCGCTAAAAGGGTTCCGTTTTGCGGCCTTTATTGAGTCTATCATTATTGGTGGGCAAAAAAGAGTCATGAAAGGGCGAAAGAAGGGTAAATAAAGAGTGAGGGTGCAAAAAGGGTGCTGAAAGGCTCGGCCATTGATGATTTCCGATTTTATTACTGTAGCAAATTTTGGTTCAAACACAGTCCCTGGTAAAGATCATTCTCAATTAAAAACAATTTTCTCAAAATGGTCCAAAAAAGGTCGATAAAGGCCGATGACAGGACGGAAAAAGGCAGTAAAAAGGGAACCGTTGCCACCCGTCTGAGAACCATCAATGGATACCTTTTGCACCAAGAATTGACGATAAAAGGGCCCGTGAAGGGTCCTCCCGACTTTGCCTATGTAAGAAATAAAGGTTCAATACAGGTTCCAAAACGGAACCCTTTTAGCGGCCATTTTGCACCCGTTTTTCCGCTCTTTCGACTTTGTTAGTGCCTCGGACCTTCGTAACAAAAACCAGATTTGTCCCGTTTTCAAGCAACTCTAGGGATTAATCTCAAATGCTTAAGTGACGCCTAGAAATGCTCAGAAACGTCCGAGGTCCTAGAAAATTGATAAAAGCCGATTTTTGAGGTGAAATTTGATACAATGACCATCAAATTTTCTTGAAATCTTTACAGAAATGCACCCAGTGCTCAATTTCCAACACCTGTGCCGATCCCGACGGTCCAAACGTCACTAAAACTATCAAATCGACCGAACCGAGGGAATGTCTCTGCCAGAGTATCTCCCATCATTGTATGGTCCATCCGAAGGTTTTTCCAATCGGGAAAAATGAAAAGAATTGGCATTTTAGGGCGAAATCCGATGGTGGAACCCGAACAATTACACAGTTTATCCGATTACTGAACCCCCGCCGCCGATAGTTATCGAGGAAGAAGAGGCTTTTGGATATGCGGTGAGGAATCATTTGAGAGATAGTCTTTCTCGTGGTCACAGTACCTTTTCGTGCTGATGTTTTATTGCGCTTCACGATGATCCTTTAATGAAGTCTTTTTTTTAACTTTTTTGTAAATTCTAGGTCAATAGGTTCTGCGTATAGTCCGTTCAGTTCTTGGGTTTCTATCAGCTAACTCCGCCCCCTAGCTATAGTACCTTTTCGTGTCGATTAACGAGAATGATCCTTCAATATTGATTAATTTTTTAACTTGTTTTTTTGATCCTTTAATAGCTCTGCTTTTTTTGACTTTTTCTAGATTTTAGTTCAATAATTTCCACCGTAAAGTCTGTTCAGATTTTCAATTTCAAGCAAATGACTCCGCCCCGTGACCACTGTACCCTTTCGTGTTGATTTACGACCGTAGATCCTGTAATAATACCTTTTTTCGATTTTTCTAATCTGATAGCTTGAAAAAAACCAAAAAACTTCAACTAAAATATTGGAAAGTCTACAAAGTTTCGCTATTAAAGGATCATCGTCGGTGATAAAAAAAAACACCGACGCGAAAGATACTGTAGCTCCGGAGGCGTAGTCAGGTGCCTGAAGTTCAAGAACATCGGTTGTACAACTCCAGTTTTCAAAAAATTTCCGGTCTTCTTGAAACTGGAATTTGTCGAAAATTATATACACTTTTTTGATGTTTCTAGGCAGCTATTTAACACCGGGAAATTTAGAAATTATTAATTTATATTTTTTTAAAGTTTTTTTAAAAATTTCATGTCTTCTATATCCAGGATCTGAACGATGCTGGTGCCATTACGACCCAAACCAAGGAAAATTTGATTTTCCTGGTTTCCGCCCTGCCAAGAGAAATTCGTCGGAACTTGTCCTATACATTGAATGAATTTGTCCTTCGATGCTCCTTTAATAGCAAGGATTGCGATATGGCCAAGTTTGTGACTTGACGAGACAGAAAAATTAATTTTCTTGGATTTTCAGCGACTTCAAACTTCATATCGACCCAGAGTACGGAAACTGCTACACTTTTAATTTCAATGATTCGGTCGAATTGAAAAACACGAGAGCTGGACCGATGTATGGTGAGTTTGAATGGGAAATAATCTTTCAGATTTCAAAAAATAGCGAAAATGTTAAGAATATTCTAAAAAAAATGTTGAGGCGAATTTAACAAATCAAAATTTTTCTTCTTCGAGACTTTCGTTTCGTGGAAATTTTAGTCTTTTTTTTCTTTTCAATAAATCTCATCTGAGAACTTCAATACGCGCGACCTGTCCTCGTGCATGCGCCTTTAATATAACAGGGCCTACAATTTCCGTTATATTAAAGGCGCATACACAGAAGAGCCAAAAGAAAGAGCCAAAATATTCCGTTTTATTAAAGGCGCATGCACAGAGGAGCCAAAAAAAGCTCAAAATTTCCGTTATATTAAAGGCGCATACACAGAGGAGCCAAAAAACAGAAATTTAAATTTTCGTTATATTAAAGGCGCATGCCCAAAAGAGCCAAAAAATAGAAATTAAAATTTTCGTTTTATTAAAGGCGCATGCACATAAGAGCCTAAAAATTACGTTTTATTAAAGGCACATACGCAGAGGAGCCAAAAAACAGCCTAAAAGATCAATTATCTTGAAGGCGCATGCCCAGAGGGGCCAAAAAAAGCTCAAAATATTTTTGTATTGAAGGCCCATGAGGGGCCTAAAACGGAGCTTAAAAATTCCGTTTTATCAAAGGGAGTTGGACGACCCAAACCCCGTTGGCGAGATGACCTACGAGCAGTTCTTGGTGAAAGATGGGCGACAGTTGCGCGAACCGACAAACATCTCTTCAAATATTCCATGATTCAGCAGATACAAGATTACTCTGAGGACTGAATAAATGTTAAATGTTAAAGGCGCATGCCCAAAGGAGCCAAAAAACCGAACTAAAAATTTTTCGTTTTCTCAAAGGCTCATGAGGAACCTGAAAAGGCTGGAAATTCCGTTTCATCAAAGGCGCATTCAAAGAGGAAACGAAAAAAAAAAGAATTATAATTAAGGCACACTCACAGAGAAAATCCCCGCGTTTCGAAGAGAAAAGTACCGTAGCTCTGAGAAGTGACAAGCTGGTCTGGAATGGACTATTCCTATCATTTCAGGTCTCCGCCTTCTACTTGACGTCCATCAAGATGACTATATGCCAACGACGGAAGCCGCAGGAGTTCGATTGGTCGTTCATGAACAGGTCTACCTTCTGAGAAACTTTTAAGATAAAAAAAAAACACTTTTTGTTTTGCATAAATACAAAAAAGTCAATTTCAGGACCAAGAACCGTTCCCCGATACGTTTGGCTACAGCGCGCCGACGGGTTTCATCTCATCTTTCGGCTTGAAAACGGTAATAATTTCTAAGTTCTGGTAGTAGGGTGAGAGAGAAGCCGACCTGAAGAGACACCAGAGAAGTCAGACATTTTTTTTCTCTCTGAAGTCTCTACGGGCAATACGGATCTCTCGCTTCTCCTCGTTTTTGTTACGCTTCTTAGGCTTCTTCTCGAAGGTATCTTTTGAAAAATAAGTATTTTATTGGGATAATAGAAGAGCCGCTTTTAGAGACGCCAGAGAGTCAAAAAGTTCTCTTTCTCTGGCGTCTCTTCAGTTACAACCAATCTCTCACTTACTTCATTTCCAGAAAGTTCTTCATCGATTGGACGGTCCGTATGGTCAATGTAGCGACACCTACAGACCTGAAGTCTACATCTATGATGAGCATTATTCTCCGGAGGTTCGTGAAGAAGAAAAAAAAATGGAAAACTCTAAGGAAAATCAGAAACTGGTTAGGAAGGTACAGAAGAAAACTTTTAGAATATAGGAAAGTTGAGTTTTTTCGAGGCAATCGAAAGACAGTTTGAGGAGGTTTTGTGTGGAAGACGAAAAAAGGATCCGGAGAATAACAAAAGCGAGAGACAGCGGTGGGCTGAAGAGACGCCAGACAACAAGAGCTCATTGACGTGTCTGACATCTCTTCAGGGCCGGTATCATCTCTCGCTTTTGTTTTTTGTTTTTTCTTTTTGCGTTTTCTTTTGACTCTTCTTTCCTTTCATTTTTTTCGACAAGAAAAATCTGAAAAAAATAAAGCTGCTTATCAAAAAAATCATCCAGTTTTTTTAAGGAGATATCAGAAAATCTTTATCGGTACTTTTTTAACAATCTCTAACCACCGAAAACTAGGGCCTCAAGTTTAAAACATTTTTTTGAAAAAAAATTTGATAGCTGAACCTGATAAGGAAATTTTCCTGATAATCTTTTTCTCATGTGTAGGGCTGCCATCGGAACTGCTTCCAACTGAAAGTCATCGAAGACTGCAAATGCGGCGATCCCCGATTTCCGCTCCCCTCCGAGGACCAGCGATACTGTAGCGCCAAGTCTGTGGCCGATCGTGAGCGTGTTTACAGTTTCAACGTCAAGCTGAAAATTTCAGGCCAATGCTTGTCGAACTTGACGAGCGTCGCCGGCGGCTACCGACACTTACATTTGAAGTGCGAATGCATGCAGCCCTGTCATGAGAACGTCTTCGAGACGGCCTATTCGGCCGCCGCTTGGCCTAGCGTCAATTTTAGGATTGGTGAGGATTTTTACAACGTTTATGGAAAACAAAATAACCATAAGAGTTCATTTTATAATGGGGAGGGTCAAGGTTTGAGATTTAAAAAAATCCTCATTGTTCGACGAGTTATAACTGAAACCGAGTTATTTTTCGAGCTTAAGAACGCCTTTTTTCCCTTTCAGGTCATAGTAAATTGTAGAAGATCATGAAATAGTTTTTCATGGTTATTTAGACACACATCGGCCTCGTAATTCTAGTAAAAAAAGAGCCCTTTAAATTTTAGATAAAAATAAAGAGAAGGTAGGGATTTTTTTCAGAAAAATCAATAAACCTGTTAAATCACAGGCTAAAAATTTGCTTTCATTTTTCTCTTTATCGTTTTTCTTCAAAAAAATTTGGGACAAGATTTCCTTCCAAGCGTAATAATGAATCTTAGAAGGTCATGAAATAAGTCGTCACGGTCATTGGAAACCGTAACCGATGCGAAATTCACGATTCAAAAATTATTTGAAATGACAAAAGAGACTAAAAAAACTTATAATAGAATGGAACTTTGAGGACAGGAACCAATAAAATCAACTTTCTTGAGATTTATATCAAGGTTTTTTGTTCTCAGCTCCCGTTAGGCATTTTTGAAAATTAAAAATCTTATTTTTCAAAAAGCTTTCTTGATTTATTTTAGAATTTATTCAAGAAAAAAAACTTTAAAACTATTTTTGAAAATCTCAAACACGATATAGGCCATTCCGCGTCAGCTTGTCACGTTTTTCTTTCCGCCAAAAGGCCAGGTCAAATTTGACCAACTTCGCTTCAAGACCTTTGTTCGTTGCCGTTATAAAAGCAGAAATTTGATCAAACTTGGTATATGGTCTTTTTGGCGCAAAGAAAAACGTGACAAGCTGGCGCGGAATAGGCTATATATAAATTCCTGACTGGCTCCTAAAAATTTGCAAAAAACATTATTTGACCCATTTTTTCACCGCACAAATAAGTCGATCTCCACGTCATCTTTATTTTTGAAGGAGCGAATGTTGAAATCATTCATGTAACATTAAGAGGATGAAATTATGTGATTACAATGAGATTGGGAAAAGAGTAATACGGAATTATATTAAAATAATTAATTTAAGTATCGCGCAGCCGTTTCGGGTTATAAAAATGGTAAAAAGCAGAAATTTGATCTAATTTGGTATACGGTCTTTTTGGCGGAAAGGAAAACGTGACAAGCTGACGCGGAATAGGCTATGTCGGTAGATTTTTCTCTTATTTCAGCTTTTTTCAATTTTCTGTTGCAACCTCGAAAAGTTCTCTATTTTCAGGGGATGATTGCCCAGCAGTTCTGGACATTTTCAACGATTCCGAAGCTTGTACCGAGTACTACCGCGTTAACACGGCCTACATTGAGATTTACTACGAGCAGCTCAATTTCGAAACTCTCAAGGAGACGGCCGGCTATACGGTAAGAGATACTGTACTGACACAGTAACCTTGTACGATTTACAGTTGGTGAACTTGTTCTCTGACTTTGGCGGTAACATTGGCCTGTGGATTGGCTTCTCCGTCATCACCTTCTTGGAGCTTCTCGAGTTCCTTTGCGAGGTAAGACATTTTTTTTTGAGGGGGGAGGTGAGAGAGATATGAGAAGTTGAAGAGAAGAAGGAAAATGTTTGGTCAAAAGTAGTTTATTTGTTATTGGAAAAATCAGGCTAAAAACGAAGCTTCTGCATTTTTTGCACCATTTTTCCTTGTTGCAAACACGTTTCGGGCCCACTTTCAGCCTGTTTTTGGCTTGAAAATGGTGCCTTGACGGTTAGAAATGAATGAAAAACAGTTCTATACTTCAAATCTTAATGTTAAAAAGAGAAAAAAATTAAGTTTTGAAAAAAAAGTAAGAGTGAAAATTGGAAGGTAACAAGGCTATGATACTCGAGCAAGGTCGGAATGGTGGATAATGGCCGCTAAAAGGGCCGAAAAAAGCAGCAAAAAGGCAGCAAAGAGGCTCAAAAAAGGCCTCAAAAAGGCAGCTAAAAGGCTCAAAAAAGGCCGCAACAAGGCAGCAAAGTGAGTCCCTTTATCGAGCCCCGCATTTTTTTTAAGGTTTTGAAGGCTCAAAAAATGTTGGAAAAAAGAAAGGCAGCAAGAATGGTGCATAAAAAACGATGAAAGGGGGCAAAAAGGCAGCAAAAAAGGAGCCTTTTCCACCCTAAAAGGAACATTTCTGGAGCCTTTTTCCACCCTTTCTGATGTTGCCTCAATATATTAGAAGTTATAAATCAATTTGACAAAGTTCGGACTTTCGATCCCCGGAGTTTTTCTATGGACAAATAATACCAGGATTTCCATTTTCCACCCCGATCAATAGCCGATTTCGGATCCATTAATGGAGGAGCCTTTCAAAAAAGTCGATTGGATCAATCGAAAAAAGGAAAAAAAAGTGAGACGCGGATGTTCCAGGTCGGCTACTACTGTCTCTACATCAAGCCGATGCGACTCCATCGGAAGCTGCTCCGACGGCGGAACCAGGAACAAGAGGACGGAAGCCCGCCGAGGGTCATCAACCGGATACTCTACTCGCCCCGCTCGGGACATCTTCGACGGTCTGATGACGTCGACGACGACGATCGACGTTACCGATTGAAGGACCATGGCTAGGCGGTTTATTCCGTGAATAGCCTTTTTCAATTTATCCTGGTTTTTACTGGTATTCATGTGTGTTAGAAGCTTTTTTGATTCTTTGGGCCATAGTCCAATCACTGCTGACTTGGGTCAAATTAGACGCCTTCACGTTTTTGGTCCAAGATTTTTTCTGAATGTTTTCTCGGTCTTTTTTGCATCGATTTGAACTTTTCTTTTTTTGAATTTTCGACATCTTATGAGACAGTCATTGAACTACTATAGGTATGAAAACTACAGCTATTAAAAAAAATTTAGGACGAATTTATCAAATTCCGTGAGACCGCTCTGTGTTAAATTTAGAAGTACCAATGAATTTTAAAAGTTCAATGCGACCGCGACGCGTGTAGCCATTCCAACTGCGGCCGATGAAGTGGTCGCATTTGGAATGGCTCAAAAGAACCTGAATGCAATTTTTTTTTTTTGAAAATTTGACAACTTTTACGAAACGCTGTTAGATTGCGAAGATGTTAATTTAGGCTGGATTGAGCTCAAAAGATTGAGCTCAAATTGAGCTTTTAGTAAGAAGTTTAGTTTTTCCAGAAATAGCAACGCGACCGCGACGCGTGTAGCCATTCCAACTGTGGCCGATGGAATGGTCGCATTTGGAATGGCTCAAAAGATTCTAAATCCATATTTTTGTCTAAAAAAATCTAACAAGTTTATCGAAACTGTTGAATAGCAAAAATCGTACATTCGGGCTGGATTGAGCTCAAAACTTCAAGAATCCATTGAGAAGCTTAGTTTTTCAAGGAATAGAAACGCAACCGCGACGCGTTGAACCATTCCAAACGCGGCCGAATTTATAACTTCCCTCTTTCCGACAATTGTTCCGAGACGCTGTTAGCTGACTAATTTGAATGATTGATGAGATCTGCAGCCAAATTGCCATTTTCTTCCGCTCTCCTGAATTTTGTCTTTTTTTACTCGCTTCATGTCTTGTCATTTCCTCTAAACGTTTCTCATCTGTTTTTTTTTCCAACCCATTGTTCTTCTTCTCTTTCTATTTGAAACGGGATACTTTTTCTCTCTTCCTCTCTTTCCATTCTACACTGAAACGGCCCTTTTTTGGTTTTTTTTTGTAATTTATTTCCTGATGATTCACTTCTTTCAACGCTTTTTTGCTGTGTTTTAAGATATTCCTATCGTTTTCCTTTTCACAACAACGTGTTCAAAAATCAACCTTTTTTCTTCATTTTTTCGAACTTTTCGACGTCTTTCTTTCAATTTTTAGAACATTTTACAGTAAATTTTTTGAATTTTTGGAAATTTTTTTCGCGTGAAAGAATGATATAATGAAGAGAAGAATTGATGAAAAATGAGAAATGGATTTGCTATTTTTCAGGTTATTAACTGGGGGGTTTTTTTGGCTTCGGATTAAAATTCAAAATAAAGAAAGAGAAATTTCCCCAGGTTATTTCTTTGCTCTTTTTTTGACTCTAAAGGCTTTTCAGTACTAGAGGGACCACTTGCAACTTTTCTAGTGACCACTGTAGAAGTTAAAAGCCAAGTGAACACTTTAGGGATTGTTTTTTTGAGTCCTCATTATGGCTTCTTCACTCAGTTTTTTCACTGAAATATTGCTTTGAGACGCCTGAAATCGCTATAGTGGTCACTTAATAGTTTCCGACTTATTTGAAAAAATCTGATCATTTTTTTTGACTGAATGAAGTCATTAAAAGCTCAGAAGCTCTATAGGGGCCACTTAAAAAGTATTTTTACGATCCTCGGATGATTTCAATGCTAAGTAATCACTTAAGGATCAAAGAACATGCGATTATTTCAAGTTCGGAACCCTGAAGGGACCACTCACTTCTACAGGCTTAGTTATCAGTTTTTTTTTTATAATTCAGAAGTTGTCAGGTCCTCTTCAGGCAGTTCTTAACTCTAGAAGCTCAGGAATTTATAGGGGCCACTTGAATTTTTCTGGTGACCACTGTAGAAGTTGGAGGCCAAGTGAGCATTTTAGTGGTTATTTTCAAAGCGATTCAAAATTTTCTCAGGCTTTTTCGCTTTAAAGTTAGAGGCCACTGTAGAAATTGAGTATCAGCAGATCAAATCAAGTTCGGAACCCTGAAGGGACCACTTCTACAGGTTGAGTGATCAGTCTAGTGTTTTCTATTACGCATTTTCCAGAGGATCTACAAGTTATTTACACTCAGTTTTTTTAACTGAGAAAATTTCTAGTAGCCACTTAAGAGGAATGCTTAGAGAGGACACTAAAGTGACCACTAAAACCACCTCTATAGAAGTCACTTTTTTGCCTCTAAGTGGTCATTATAGTACTTTCAGTGGTCTAGTGGTACCACTAAGACTTTGAGGAGGTCAATAATTTTTAGCCTCTTAAGTGGCCACTTGTTCGACTACTATAGTCACCACTAAAGAGTCAAAACCCTTGAAGTGATCACTAAAATTTTTCCAATAAAAGCAAGACCTTTCGAAACTTGAAACCGCTATAGTGACCACTCGATAGTTTCCGAGTACTCTGCTCACTTCGATGGAAATTCAAAAACCTCACCGAAACACTACAGAAGTAATATTTATGCATGTAGACGAGCAAAGGACATGCGATTCCAAAGGCGCTTATTCAAATTCGATGCCGTGTTACGAGGCGAGGATTCGTTTCCCGAAATTTCGGCGCCGCCCGTTTCTTCTCTCTTGTTTTTGGGCCGCTTTTGTATTTACTGTGTGGCGACGTTGCAACGCTACCCGTCGTCGTGTTATCAATTTTTTTTGTGGTTCTATTGTTTGAGTCAGTTTTTTTTGGTTCGATCGCATGTTTCAATGTTGTTTCCGTACTGGTAGGGAGTTTTTAGGTGGGAAAAATGCAGAAAAGCTTTAGTGGCTACCATAGAGGCTTGCCAAGGATTACTTGAAGAGGACACTAAAGTGGCCACTAAACCCACCTCTATAGTGGCCACTACTTTCCGTTTTAGTGGCCACTATAGAGGTTCTCTATTTAGCGACCACTTCAGTGGTTTTTCATCCAGTATTCCTTCCAGTAACTTTGATAATTTAAAACAAACAGATTGGACCAGTTATGTTGATCCATTGACCCCTAAAGTGGCCACTAAAGTTTTTAGTGGTCTTGTAGTAGCACTTAGACTTCGACAGTGGCCACTAAATTGTTACCCCTTGAGTGGCCACTAATTTTTAAGCTCTTAAGTGGCCACTAATTTGACTACTATAGTGGCCACTAAAACGTCAAAGCCCCATAGAGGCCACTAAAAATTTTCCCAGAATTGACTAAAAATAGAAATGGCCGAAAATTGCGAGCATAGTACGCTCCAATGAGATTTCAAACAAAAAAGTTATTTTTTCAAAAAGGGCTCCAAACGGTTGAACAAAACCATAAAAAAACCCGAGAAAAAAGGTTTCAATTTCTATACAGTTATAAAAAAAGAAAAATTCGTATTTTTTTCCAAGAAAAAAATCAAAAGGACTACTTTTTTTAGGTTCAAAAAACTCTTGGAAGAAATAAATTTGTAGAAAATTTTTCCTGACCCTTTGAATTTCTAATCAAACTCTGTCACTAACTTGAAAAATTTTTTCGTCCTGATTTTTCAAATTTTCGAATCCTTTTTCCTTCAAAGAATGTTGATCAAAACATCGAAAAAGTGTCAAAAAGCGATCTTCAAATCAAATATTTTTGTCCTCCCCCTCGATTCCAAGCAAAAACAACGTTCTCCCCTCCCAACAATAATGAGCTTTTCCCATCATCACAGGTTTTTTTCTTTCTTTGTTTACCCTCCGCTTAAACGTTGGTAAATTGTGATGCTTTCAGAAGCTTCTCAAATTTGCAATGAGCGAGCCGGAGAAGGCAGAAGCCGTCGTGACGTCGGCGACGTCAGAAGCGCCGGCGGCCGTCGTCGAGCCTTCAGAATCCCTGACGCCGCCGTCCGCCGACCCCTCCATCAACAACAACCTTCGGCAGCGTGTCGGCGACACTCCGCCTGGGTTGGTTTTTCTTCTAGAAATGAAAGTAAGAAATGACTGGTCGCACTTGGAATGGCTCGACGCCAACTCAGAACGACTTGGCGTCAGAAAGCATTATTTCATTGAAAATTAGTTGAGATATAGTCTGTGTACTACGACTTGGAATTTCACCGAACGACATTCCGCTGTTCCGCGGGGTCCCTTTGCGAATCTCGGTCGCGCTTTCAAATTTCTCTGTCATTCAAATACTCGCAATATAAATATTCTGGAAGGGTGAGCACACTATAAAGCAAAATTAAAGCAGTCTACTGAATATTAAATGACTGCAACGCGACCGCGACGCTGTGAGTCATTCCAAATGCGTCCAAAACGTTCCAAGATGCTACCGATGAAGTTTAAACTTCTCGGTTTTTCAATACTATCATTTTGAGGGAAATCACTGCTTCAAAAAGCATTTCTAATTTTCCACCATCTTTCAAACTTCAGTATAACTTGGGTGACTACAAAAAAGTAATTTTTTGTGAAGTTAGGCCGTGTTTTCCATTTGTGAAATACGACCTTCACGATAATTAGGACGTTAATCATTTTTTAGTTCATTAAATGTTTATTTTCTAACAACCTGACTTTTAAAAATTATTCACTTTTCGTGAAAAAACCGCGCAAAATCTCTGGAAAACTCCAAAAAGAGCTATTTTTTTTAGTCTTTGAGCCCTTTTTTTCTAGAAATAGGAGGTTGGGCAGGTTGAGACTTTCAGGATCTTTTTTTGGTATGCCAAGAATCAATCTGACCAAGTTTTTAGGAAATTCTGAGCTTTTTCCCAAAAATTGAGGGTCAAAGTGACTTTTATTCAGAATCTCGATAGTTTAACCGCTCAATAGGTCTCTCTAATCGCTTTCAAACGTTAATTCGGTCCGAAGACGGTTTGATCTTAGCCCACGTCATGATTGGACTGGGCTGAACAGATGAGGCGGTCAGTTCAAAGACTAGTGATGTCACAAAACGAGTCCAAGTTCAACTTGTTAAAACAGGAAGATTGATACGGAAGATGCCTTAAAATCAGTACCATTGCCCATTTTGATATACCGTTTGAGAATTTAGTGTAGGTTACTGTAACATTTTTCGTCTTGGGACCATTTTTTGAAAAATTAACGGCTTGAAACGAACAAAATCGTGCTCAGGATCCTTGAAATCAGTACCTTTAGCCTTGTTTGTTATACCTTGGGAGAATTGAGTCAAGGTTACTGTAGAATTTATCGTTCTAGAACCCTTTTTCGAAATTTTTTTGCCTCTTTATAATCAGTATCTTTGCCCTTTTTGATACACTTTGTGAGGAAACTGGGAAGGTTACTGTAAGATTTTTCGTTTTGAGACTCTGTTTTGAACCATTTCGGCTTGAAGCCAACAAAATCGTGATCAGGATCTTTAAAATCAGTATCTTCGACTTTTTTGATTCACCTTGGGAATAATATGAGAGGTTACTGTAAGATTTTTCGTTCCGGGACCATTTTTTGAAGATATCAAAACGGTGATCGGGATATCTAAAATAGTATCTTTTAAGATGTTTCAACTTTCTTTTTTGTTCCTACCGGACAAATTCTATATATTGAATTTTCTATCAAACTCCCCATAAATAGTCAGATTTGAAACTTAGATTTAATCGGTTTAAAAATGAACAATATTGTGCGTCATAATTATTGGCTCACGCTTATTTTCTCTATTTTTTTCCTGAAAGTTCGAGTATTTTGAATGATATTTTCTTTTTCTTCGTTTCTTTTTAAAACTGTATTAAAATTATATGTTTATAAAAGATGCCGAATTATAGATGGAGAAGTAGAAAAAAATACTGATCAAAGATTTTTTTCTATTCGTTCTTGAGACGTATTTTTGGCCGTCTTTAGACATAAAGTCTACCGGAAAAAAACGCCAGAGTGGTCACTAGAGGGTTTTATGAAAAAAATACAGACCCTATAGGGGACAAGTTTTTCGCATGGAAATGCTTCTTCTCATAGAGTTCATAACCATACTCATTATAAACAACTAGCATGCCCCTATAGGGGCCACTTTTTCAAGCTTCAGTGACCCCTATGGGGAAGCTAAGGTGGTTCCTTGAGAGGAACCTTCAAGTACTCCTACGGTTGCCCCTATAGGAACCACTCTGGAGTTCCTAACCTTGAATCACATTTTTTTCCCCTTTTGAAAGCAAGAACTAATAGAATCATTCCAGATTCGGTCGTCGGGTGAGCTCCGTGGAGCTCGTCCGGAACGCGATGCCGTCGACGAAGAAGGCGTCGGTGGTGATCTTCGAGACGCCCGACACGCCCAAGCCGTCCGAGCGGTGAGTTTTCTTCTGATTTTGCTCCTGACGTCATTCAATCACTGACGGAAGAAACGGTGCATCATGTCTGCTGGCCGCAACACAATCGGAGTATTGTCTTCCCTTAGGAGACTTCTTTCTTTCTTTCAATATACGACCTCTCCCATTTCTCGACTTTCTTCGGTTATATATAGTCGTTTTGGATTTCAGTTTTTTATTATGTTTCTTTGGAAGTTCATTCGAGTTTATATGGTTAACTAGAGAAAGGAGTAAGTTTTTTGTAAGGAGCACGACGTCGCTTAAAACTCTTTATTGATCATTTTATCGCTTGGTTCAACCTTGAAGCTATATTCTTAAACCCCAACATTTCCTACCTACTTCGAATTTCAGAATAGATAGATTAAATTTGATCTTGGACCCGCAAGTGAACGGTTTTTCAAGAAAACTTGTGCTTTTTGAAATTTGTTTCGATCTTTTCAACTCTCGGCCTTCCTTCCATATATTTTTTGAAATTGGCAAGGAAAGGTGATTTTATTTTTTTCAAAACAGGACCTCATCCGTTTAGATGTAGTCTCTGTGCATGGTTTTGATTTCAGTTTTTTCGCTTCAATATGAATTTCATAACCCATTCGCCACTAAAAGCCATTCCAAGTGCGACCAAACTTTGGTGAGAAACTTTTCAATCGGTGTGGAATAGATCTTCTTCCAGAACTTGGAACTGTCTGTTTAGTCTGCGCCCTCTCATCTCTCGTTTTTACGTGCTTTTTTCATGTTTCTATGATCTCGGCGGTGAGAGAAAAGAGAGCGCAGATAGGTCAGACATTTCAAGTTGTGGAAAATATTGCGGAAGGCTTTTTTTTTTTTTAGTTTTGAGCTTCCGACCTGATTTTACAATCTTTGACATTTTGATCTGATGAGTTTTTTTTGAGAACATAAATCTATTGAGCCATTCTACATGCGACCGGGAGGCCTTTTGAATAAGTGTTGGTTCATTTTTCATTTGAAGAATGATTTCAACGGTCAGTGACCTGAAAAAAAAACGCCAAAATCAAGCGGAATAAGAAAACGAAAGAGATGAATGTTGGCTCACTTTTCTTCGCGCGATGAACCTCTCCCTCCCTCTCTCTCACTTGAGGGGCCTTGTTTGCGTGATGTTTTATCCACTGGATGGATATCATCATCATCGGTTGCTGGTGCACTCGCCGGTCACCGCCGGACCTCCTCTCTCTTTTTTTTGTGTCTTGCTTCCTTAACTCGTCTTGATGTAGAGCCCATTCCACGCCAGTTTCACTAAAGACTACCTAGTCGAGCGCGAGAAAAACGCGATGTCGCTGGCGGTATCGTACAGTGACAACCTCGCAAATGAACCGCTTTCTCACCGAGTCTGACTTGCATTCATATCGCACGCTTAAAAAAAATCGAAAAGTTCCAAAACGCGATATCGCGCCAAGGAAAATGCAACACCGGCGCGGCTACAAAGCAGCACTTCTGCGATATCGTCAATGTACCGCCAGCGACTTCACGCTCATTTGAAGTGCAAAAAAGCTGTTTTTATAGTTGTTGTCCCTGCTTACTTGATAGGCAAGATGGATATATTGGCAATTTTTTTTTTTTCAAGCGGTCTTGATCTATTCGTAAAAGAAAACGGATATAGAATTTTGGCTCGAAAATCTCATCTGCGAGGTCATTTGTCAGTCTGACCTGTCTGAGCTCTCTTTTCTCTCATCGGAGCTAGAAAATCACGAGAGAATCGCTGAGTAGTCGGACTCTTTCAAGTTCGGGCGGAGAGACTGTAGAAAATTAAAGCTTTCTTGAGTTATCCCTTGGGTTTCAAGACCAGGTAAATTGGTCTCTTTGCTGTTACCTAATTTACCTGTCCCCTTTGTTTCACTACCATTTCCGCTGTCAACACATATCCTCAACTTATTTGTCGAACTGTTTGATAGTGACCGGTCATTCTACGATGAGCACCTTTTTCCGTGTTTCGTCTCGCGGAAATTCAAGTGGAACGCCTCTTTTTCCCTTTTTCTTTCTGTTATTCTTCCCCTCCGTAGTTTCCTATTATTTTGAAAATTCATCGAAAGCCGACTCGATTTGTAACACAAACAAATAGAAGAAAAAAATGTGTGGCCGGGGGATGATTGATTGTGGGAATAAGACGTCGTGTCATTGTTTTGTTATTATGACCATATCAGGCGACAATTGATTCATTTTTGTGAGCGTTTTGAGGTTTTTTTTGAAGGTTTGAAACTTGAGATTGGAGATGGAGTTTTCAGATTTTAGGTGGTTAATTTTTGTGAGCGCTTTGATTATTTATGATGGTTGGAAACTTGAGATTGGAGATGGAATTTTAAAATTTTAATTGGCTTATTTTTTCGTCGTTTTGAAGAGTTTTAGAGGTTTCCGAACTTGAGATTGGTGATGGAATTTCTAAATTTTAATGAGAAATATTGAGAAACTATTTTTTTTAAACAAAGAAAGCTGTTCATAGGATGAATAGTGGACAGAAAAAAGGCCAAGTTTTAAGATTTTTTGAAAGAACGGCTCTCAGAAAGCGAATTTGAAGAGAAAAAAAAATTTTAACCTAGAAACTGCAATTTTTCATTAGAGTCTGTAGGAACCAAAGATTCCTTGAACAAAGTTTTTTTTTTTCAAAATTCTTTTTTTCATCTAATAACCACAGAAAATCGATTGATCTCAAAGTTCAAAGGATCATTGGTCGTTTTGCGGGAGGACCTAAGAACGAGGAACGAAATAGTGTGCTAAATCGAGAGAGTTTTACAGTATCCTAGCGGTTTTTTGTGCTAACTAGGGCGTTCATTTTTAAATAAAACTATTCGATCAGAAATTCCTTGAAAATCGTCGAGATTATTTCTTGATGTACCAGATCGGAATTCTAAAAGTCTTAACCTCCAAAAATTTTTCTGAGAAAACGGCCTCAAAATTGAATAGAACCATTAAAATTCGCTATAAGAGGACATTTTTGAACTTTGAGCTTTTGTTTTTTGAAAACTGAAAAGCTTTAGAGTCTGAAAGTCTTTGGATCTTGATCTGGTAAATCAAGGAGCAGTCTAACCGCATTTTCAATGATTTTGAATCACGTAAAATATCGATTTTTCCCGACTTGAAAGGCGAGAGGGTGAAGCGTTGCGTGTGCGACGCGGCTTTTTGGCGATAATGGAAAATGTAGTAAAAATTTAAAAATTTTTTTTTCTTAATTTTATATTTTTTTATGCGTTCAAGTTAACTTTTTTTCGAACCTATAAAAAAATCAAGATTCGTTAAAAAAAGCCGTCAAAAAGAAGGAAAAAATTGGCTCGATTTTGAACTCGAGCTCCCCGCCAAAAAGCCGCGTCGCAAACGCAACGCTTCACCCTCGCCTTTCAAGTCGGGAAGGATTGGGACGCGCCGTAGCGCAACAGGTTTTGCGCTTTGTCTACGGTCCACAAGGTCACAGGTTAGACCCGCGCGTCGATCCAACCAAGGGGTTTAAGAAAATAGGTATAGCCTGTGTACCAGGACTTGGAATTTCACCGAACGACATTCCGCTGTGCCGCTGCGCGCCTTTGCGCGCCTTGGTCGCTCTTTTAAATTTCTTTTTCTTTTATTTAGGTGCTCCCACAGCAGTAACACACAATTGAAAGCGTGACTTATATTCTAAAGACGCTTCGCGAACGCACGCAGCGGAACAGCGGAATGTCGTTCGGTGAAATTTCAAATCGTGGCACACAGACTATAGTGGGAAACCACGACTTCAAAATCCCAAGCCGTCACACACAATGTCACTCGAGCCAGTCCACCGATTATCACTGATATCAGGATAGGACCTCGGCTAATCGACCTGGGACGCAGACGCCACTCAAGCTGTACAAACGCGTAGAAGAAAAAAAAAGAATTGGGGAAGGATCGACTATAGAAATACCATCCTTGTAAGAAATCAAGCTGATTAAAAGATGAAGAAGCTTCTTGATCATCACCGGAAGTCTGAGTAAAGATAACACGACGGAATCGGACGGTTCCGATTCGGGTCGCGGGAGAGCGTTGATTGATGCAAGCGAAACGCGGCGCAATGTTTTGGCACGGGGATCGGCGATCCAAGACGGGACGGCTGGACCCAACAATTTCTGCCCTTTTGCCCCGTTATCAGAAGAAGACCTCTCCTGGCGTCGATCCGATTCCTCGTCCCGCGTTTCTCGTCGGATTGCGTACAAACACTGACGCGTCGCTTTTATTGACTCGTCTGATATCCGTTCACATTTCCTTGTCCAGCTCTCTTGTTTAATTATCACTAATCTCGAGTTTTTTGCTTTCTTATTTGAGTTGAGATCAGTTTCCTTTGAGCGTATTCTCAAGATCAAAACTTTAAAAAACCATTAAAAATCTGGGAGTTTATGAGAAAATGGTCCTTTTTTGTTATGTGATACCTGATTATATCACTAACCATTCACATATCCTTGTCCAGCTCTATTGTTTAATTATCACTAATCTCGAATTTTTTTTCTTTCTTGAGTTGAAATCGGTTTCCTTTGATTGTATTCTCAAGATCAAAACGTAAAAAAATATTTAAAAAATCAGGCAGTTCATGAGGAAATTATCCTTCTTCGGTTAGGTTATCACATAGATTATCATTTACTTTGAGTTCAGATTTTTTTTTCCTAATTTCAAAGGGTTTTGGAAGCTTTTTCGTGAAGTAGTTGCATATCAAAAAAAATTTAAAAATCGGTAAATTTTAGAGAAAGTGCTTCTGGATAGACTATTTCAAAATTTTTTTTTAAACTCAAATCTTATATGCGTTCAATTTCCTTGTACAGCTCTTGAGTTTTTTTCTTTTTTTTCCTGAGTTGAGAAAGCTCTTTTTGACTCTCTTCTGTTTATATATCTTCCATCATAATCTATCCATTGTTAAATGTAAAAAAAAAGCTCGAAAAATCATGGAATTTACAAAAAAATCCTTTTTTATTCAGTTACCCCTAAGCTTCAGCTTCAGACCTTTTTTTTGAAGTCTAAAAAGTATTCTGAAGTTTTTTGTGAAGTCGATTCAATCTTGTTTGATTAAAAAATTCAATGATCGGTTAGTTCGTGAGAATATATCACTAGGAACAACTGTTGTCTAGGTATTCTTTAATTATTACTATATTTAGATCGTTTTATTTTTCTACTGAGATTTTTTTCAAAAATCATAACTTAATTTCAAAATTATAAGCAACATTGGGGCTTTCATTATTTTGAATTCCATCGGTGATTTGCCGAAAAGCTCATTGAAACAGGCAAATTGATCTTTCGTCTTATTGTCGAGTGTTTTGATATCGTTTTAGACTCGTTTGAAAATTGTTCGAATCTCCTAATCAAGATCTTGTTTCATCATCCCGCAGCTTGTCTTTTTTCAGATGACTTTTCTACAGTTTTTCCCTTTTTCGTCTTAAAACCTCTCATAATCCTTTTAATTTTTTTCTTCGACTTTATTATTTTTTTGCGTAACTAAAATTTGACTTACTGTTTCTGACGAGCTCATAACTTGAGAATGTGAAAGCTTCACAATATGAAAAATTTTTTTATTATTTTTTTAGTTTTTTTCAATCTTTTTGAGAAAGGTTATAATTATTTTCTACATGAATCCGAGAAAAATTAACGTTTTAATCCAATTATAATCAAGCCAAGAATATAATTGGCGTTGATTCCAATTTTCTTTTTTCATAGAAAGAGTTAATGATCAACCTCAGTGCTTTTGAACTTATTATCTTAATCCTTGAAATGATAAAAAAATTTGTGAAGGTCAGATTTTTGAAGAGTTTTTGAACTTCTCTATTTTTTTCCTTATTTCAATTTTTAGTTCTTCTGAAACTTGTTTTCAAAGCTACTTCAGTTTTTGATGAATTCAGAAGTCATAACGGTACCTAAATTTTGAAATAAAAAGTTTGAAAAAGTTTAATTTGAGCTTACATTAGGAATGAAAATTTTAGGAAATAGCAAAAAATATACGTTTTTTCTTGATATTTCTCTAGTTTATAGATAATTTTCCTACCTCAAAAAACTAAAAAAAAAAAGAAAAATTAGCTATGCTATAAGTTGTTTTTTTGCGCTCTACCGCTAATTTCAAATTAATACTACTGTAAATTTGATTATTGTTCATTTTCTTCGATATCAAATTATGAAATTTTGCGCTTTGTGGCTGATTTAAAATAAAACTCTTGTAGCTTTCAAAATTTCCGGTTCACTGTAAATTTTGTGATTTTCTTGTGTTGTTTTAAAGTTTAAAATCACCCTGAGAAGAAATAGCCGCGATAGAATGGAATTTTGCGCTCCATTGCTAAAATTCTTCCAAACTCTAATCAAATTGCTGCAACTATGATCTCTCGAATGGAATTCGATTTCCCAATACGGAGAAAAATCGAAAGAACCGAAACATTGATCTCTAACGCCGCCTCTTCCCACAAAAACAATCAATCAGTTAATATCTCGCAATTTTTCTCACCGAAACTGTTCCCGGTGGACTTTTGGTGTTGTTCTTCTCGTATTAGGTTCACAGTGATCAATTCGCTTCATATTTTTCTGTTTTCTTAAGGAAATCACGTGAGGAGTTCCTCGAACAGATAGGTCTTTGCAAAACTCCTTGATTCATTCATTTCGATTCGATAACAGTACTTTATCTCACTAAAGCGACCGGAGTAAGTTCTCGTAGGTTTAAAAAGTCATGATTTAAATCAACCTTCCCTCCGAGGTTTTTTTTCAAAGGTGAATTTTAGGCCAATTCATTTAAAGAATTTTTTTCGGGTTTCTCTGTTCTATTAATTTATTTTTTTGTCTCATTTTTGGCTTTTTGAAATCTTTTTTTGGTTGCTTTAAATGTCGAAAAAAACGCCTGATTTTTTTATTTTATTAGTTATTTTATTTTTTTATAAAATCAACTGTTAAATTCACAAAAAAATCAGAAATTCATCCTCCAATTATTCTTGATGCTCATACGCGCAAGTCGTTTTTGGTCGGACATTTCTTGAAACGATAGAGCCATTCCAAATGCGACCATTGACCCTAAACTTTGAAGGAATCATCTAAATTTATCATTAATTCTTGAAAAAAGTGCCATTTTCCTGAAAATTTTTTTTCGTCGTTTTTTTTAACAATTGCGTTAATTTTTTTCATTCCATTTCCAGTTTTCGAGAGATTTTTTCAAACTATTGTTTCGAAATCATAAAAATTCCATCACTGGAAGAAAAAAGTCCATCGACCGGTTATTTTATTCGTCGGGCAAAAAAATGATACGCTATTGTTCTTATTCTGCGTTTTTGCTGTATGTATGAATTTTTTTCCTATCTATACAAAAAGGAAGTTTTTGGCTTTTTTTGAAAGGTTTTCAGAAGAATTGAGTGATAAATGGACGAAAGAACATTATTCGAAAAAGTTTCCATTCTAGGAAAAAAATAGTTATTTTTTTAAATTTCTCCTAGAAATTTTCTTATTTTCTGGAAATGTTTTTTTCCTATGTCCAAAAAATCAGAATACGTATATTTTTCCGCCTTTTTACCTGTCAGGAAATATTCAAATCGTGTACTTTTCCCATTGTGACGTACCGTTTTTGGGCCTTAGTTGGTCTCTTTAATATGGAAATTTCCTTGGGAAAACTCGAAAGAAACGGTTATTTTCCATTTTTGGCTTCTGCAGACGCGGGTCGTCGTGGTGGCGGAATCTGGTGATGGACGACGACAAAACGGCGCCGCCGCAGCCGGAAATCGTCATATCGCCCGAGTTTCGGTCGGTTTTATATTATTTAAATTTGAGTATAATATAAAATGGCCCTAGGGCCGCGTCGCGGATTTAGAAGCGGTTGAAATTTTGCCTTTTTTGCGAGTTTCTGTCTCAAAATGCTCGTCCAATGTTTTGAACCATTAATTAAAGGAACAAAAACTTCGTGTCCTCAAATATTAAGACGATTTAACATCCAAATCAGAAGAAAAAGAAGACTGAAAAATAAGAAGTTGGTACGGGGGACGTCAGGAATGCATACAAATTCTCAATCCTTTGAAAAGAAGCCATACAAAAAACTGACCAAATATTGCACTCAAAAACAGTTTTTACCTTTCAAACCGGTTTTAAGTGGAAACTGGTCGAATACTTGGCCGAGAAAAAATAGCCGCGTTCAACAGAACTAGTGCGCTCCAAGGCACATGCCGCTATCTCTCATCGTCTCCGGGTCTCGAAACGCAAACCGGACACGAATAAATGAAAAAAATCTAAAAAAAATTAAGTTTGTTTTTTTATTGAGCGTTTTTGCAGTATTTTCTCCTATTTTTTTCTTGGCTCTTGTTAGTCAGAAAAAAATTTCATTATGACATAAATCAGCCACAAAAAAACTCAAATTCCTTGCAAGCTTTTTTTTTTGAAAAAGTTTTTTTGAAGCATAAATTTTTTTTGAATTATGACCAAAAAAATCGGAGAAAAACCCTCAAAATGTTTTTATTTCTGTGAACTTTCATATAATATCTTTAGGAAAAAACGAGATTTTGAACTTTTCACTGAATTTCCTTCAGAGTTCATCAGAACTACGTAATTTTCTGACGTTTCGCATCATTTTTTGATAAGAATCCACTATCAAGGAAGATATTTATAACGGAAAGGAGCTATTAAAAAGGCCTGAATGAGACATTTATGAGACATTTATGCTCGTTCTATGACCTTCCAGTGTTGAAACTTATCAAAAAAAGTATAGTTCAAGAAATAGTTTTTTTTAAATCAAAAACTATACAAAAATCAAACTCAATTTCAGAGGAAATGGTCTCGACGAACGGAATCGCAACATGTCATCGGCCAGCGTCGGTGACCGTTAGTTTTTGTTTTATTTTTTAAAATTCAAAAAGAACTTTCAAAAATATTATTATTTGTTTCCTCCAAGCGAGCAAGACTGTCTGGTGATAATGATAATGAAGTAGTTTGAAACAATTGCTTATCAGTTTACTCTTTCGATTCGAATTCCAATTCAAAGCCGACACTTGCAAAATGTTATTTTTGCAACTGTGTTCTCTGGGAAGCGACCTTGCTCTTGCATAATTTCCTTTTCGACGTCCTTCATCTTCCTTCAATTCGAAAACCCAATTAACCTTCTTCTGTTCTATTTGCATGCATTGTTCATTCGAAAAGAAAAGGTTAAAAAACCAAAAGTTATTTTGGAGGCTACTGTAGGTTAATGTGCGTGCACCCATTGTTACGTATTGCATTTCATTATACGCGCGAAAAATACAAGCGCTTTTCCCAGTTTTCGAAAAATTTCTATATTATTTTTATTTCTTATGTTCCCTTCGAACCATTTGCTTTCAAGTGGTCATTTTTCAAGCCTCAAGCGATAGCCAGGTTCAAAATCTGAGCGGGAGAGGAACGCTTTCGATTCACCGTCGGCATCATTTTTTTTTGTTTCCATATCGTCGTCTCTCTCCATCTGGCCCTTGGTATTTCGTTCCCGCTGGGCACGCCATTTAGATGTTTTGCAGCTGTGAGCACTGTGCCTTGCGCAACGACCCCTTCTTTTTTCGGATTTGAATTTCTCGCGCCATTTTCCTCACTCGGTCAAGGCCGAGTTTGTTCTGGGATGATTTTCTGTAAAACTAGGGCTATAATTCATGACTTTGCAATGAAAGTGTTTGAGATAAGAAGATTTTCGTCCCCACTGTCAGTATCATGTTCACTGGACATGCAAAAATCCTTCAAAATTTTTTCTTCTGTTTTCAAAATCATTTCAATTTTTTCCGCTTTATTTTTTTTCTTTTTCAATGGAGGCTAAACATATACACTTATTAGCTCTCGAAGTACATTTAAAACTTTTTAATGAGTCGTTCGAAAGCTAAAATTAGTCTTGCCCAAGTCATTTCGAAAAAACTTCTTCGCCTTGAGACGAATTTTGCTTCTTTGAAGACCTCAACAAGATGTTATGAAACACGTATTTTACTATTTTAATGCAATGTTCTTTTTTTCTTTCCGTTAGTGACTCACAGAACAAACTTTCGACTTTCCGCTTGAACCTTTTTGGTTTCTTATCAAGTACTTATTTGTTTTTAAAAGGCATGTGGCTATTTTTCGCTTTTAGTTCTGCACTTTCAGGTCCGAAATAGACGGTTTTGAAAGCTTTTTAATGCATTTAGTTTAAAAATATATCGGGTGTGCTCGGAAGCTTGGTTTTCTTTAAATGCGTACGGTTTTGGGAGATGCTCTTTTTTTTAAATATATATATATATATAAATTGTTCTATTTTTTTCACTCTCTTAAAAAGAAAGCGAGCTCTTGTAACTCAAAATTAGGCCAAAATTTGAACCTTTAACTTCGAAACCGTCCGCATTTTCCAGAATGCCAATATATCCTCTCAAAAATTGTCCACTGTGGAGGCGGGTGTTTGCACGTGTTCTCGCCGCGAACCCCATATCTACTTGAAACCCAAAAGCCTCTTCGAATTTCACCTTTTTATCACTTTTCAAACAAACAATTCATCTTTTGGCTATATTTTTGTAGAGGTTTTGTTCGAAAATTTTTGCTTTTAATATATAAAAGGTGAAACACTTATATTTTCTGGATGTTTCAAGAAAAAAAAAATTTAAACTTATGCCGTGTTCAAAGTAATTTCCGCGAAATGCAAAATGATCTCTGACTTTCCACAATTTAGTGATCGTTTCCTTTCTATAACGGGTATTTTGCATTTCGCGCACGGCGTTCTTGTCAGTGAAAGAAAATGCAGAAAAAAAATACCATGGGCGGGCGCCGTAAATCGTACGGCAGCAGTAGTATTGATCTGTTCAGGACCCGTTTTTGGAATACAAGACCCACCCTTTAAAGCTCTCGCAAGATTTACGGAAAGAGTTAATTGAAAAAAAGCATATTTTTTGCTTTTTTCTTCATTAATACGTCTTTTAACGTTTTTTCTATGAGTAAAAGTTATTATCCAGTTCCTTTGGCGTAGTTTGAAAACCAGTTTCGTGTAAATTAAAGCCAAACTGAACTTGCTGATGCAGTTTGAAGATTTTGTTATATGAATCATCTAAATTATATTTTTCTAGTTCTTTCATGTTTTTTCGCATTTAAACAAAAATTTCGCCATACGAGGTTTTTTTTTCTGAAATTTCTGCTTTCTGTCCATTATTTGTTTTTCTGAAGCTAGGTTTCCAAAGTATATAAAATGTTTCTTTTTTCATTTGCTCCTCGAATTTTTCTCATTTTAATATTTTTCGTATTTACAATTTCTTATTCAATGGGAGCTGATTCACCTTCATAATATTTTTTTGTTTTTTTATTTTGTAATCAGTAATTTAGAGTTTTTTTCCCTTCCGAAATCGTTCCTAAATTTTTTTAACGTAAGTGAATGTTTTTTTTCACATCATATTCTTCAAACTGACAAGATTTCGAACATTTCAGAAGTTATTATCCAAAAAAATTGCAAATTCTAAAAATTGAAAGAAACAATTTTGAGTATGCGATGGTGCGTCTCGGTGTGCTTACACCCTAAGCATCATAATTTACGAGAAGTCTTGACCTTGCGTAATAAAAAAAACGCCGTGCGCGGAATCAAATTGAACACTGCATTAAGCCAAATTTGAAGTTTTCAATATCAGGTTACTGTAGTTTTGAAATACGCGGACACCGCGACGCCCTTGGGTACTGAAAACCTCAAAAATAATTTTTTTTTTGTTTCGGTCTGATTTTTAAACAGTGGTCCGTGATTTAATAAGATCAAACCTGCCTGAAATTGCTTCGAAACTGTAAATCAACCATTATGTTTTTTTTTTTCTCAAATAAAAATATTTTCTATTAAATTTTTCTGTTGCTACTTTAAAAACTACCAAAAAAGATTTTTGAGCATAATATATTGCAAAGATCTTGAACTCTTATTGTCTTTTTGATACGAAAATTGAGATTAGATTATTCGTACGTTAAGCTTCCCATTTTTTGTTGATGAGATAAGAAGGTTCCAGCTGTTGAATTATTGACTTTACTATTCGAACTTTACGAATCTTTTGTTCTTTTCATCACTACGGACTCTGAATATGAATGAATCAATGAGAGTTTTGGTTCGGTTTATTGTGAGAAGGGCAAACAGCCGTTTGTTTATGTTTTCAGCCTTGTTTTGGACGGTTATGTTTTAGGAAAAAAATTGGAACCGAGGAAAAATTTGAATGTGTTTTTTTGGACTTTCAAAAAAACTTGTTTCAAAAATTAAATTTCGGCTTTTTTAGATTTTTTTCACGAACTTCTTTTCTGGAATGAGAATTATTAGCGAATTTCTCATGTTAAAAACGCAGATTCTTTCCAATTTTTTTAATTATACAACTACATTTTTTTGCCAAAAAAACCTCACTTTTAAAAAAATTTTTTTGAGAGTTGAACTCTCTGCTCAAATTTTTTTCAAAAAGAAACTTGGTTTTTTTGACCTTTTTTTACATTTTTTTCCATAAGTTTTCTTTTCAAAAGCAGTGGAACTCTTTTCCTCGAGTGGGAGAAAAAAATTGAAGGAATCTTTTATCAAAAAAATAATATTTTTTTACTTATTGGTTAATTCTCATGAAAACTTCTGTTTTTCAGGCTTCCAAATTTTTTTCTTCCAAAATCAAACTTTTGTTTTCGAAATTATTTCCGTGTACCTTTTTCTGCAGAACTGAGGACTTATCTTCAATTTTCGGATTCACCCGGCTTCTTTTGTTTAATTGCTACCCATTTTGTGCTATTTTTCACGTTGTGCGAGAACAAAAAAGCGTTCGAAAACATGTAATTAAGTCAAACGAAATTGAAAACGAAAGCCGAAGGGTATTCGGCATAATATTTTGAACTTCAGTTTAGAATCTCGGTCATTTTTTGTCGTTTGGGCTTTGTCTCTGAGTTTCTGGAAACATTTTTCGAATTCTATTCAATATTTTTGAACCGCCTACTAAAATAACCTTTCTGATTTTCGACAAATTCAACTGATTTTTACTTTTTTTTTTTCGAAAATTATAAGTTTCATGGATGTGACTATAGTTATACGCAGCTGGGATAGTTGGAAAAAAAAATCTCTTTTTTGAATTTTGGTTTGATAAAAGAACAAAAATTTTTAGAGACTCACCTTATGAACTGTCCTTTTTTCAGATTCGAAAGCTTCGCTTTGAATTTTTTTTTTCCTTCTTTTGAATAATTTTTGGATTATTCCGGATTTTTGAAGGTAATAACACACTTTCCTGACTTGCCCGAATTAATTTCATGCTTCTTTATTGTTTCACTTCGATCCTTTCTGAATTTCCTACTGTCATACGCACTTCACAGAACCTTGTCTCACAAGAATCAATGGGGACATTTTTAGTGGCCACTGTAGAGGCTCGCGAAGGACTACTTGGAGAGGACACTAAAGTGGCCACTATTTTCCGTTTTAGTGGTCACTTCAGTAGTTTATCATCCAGTATCCCTTCCAGTAACTCTGATTATTTAAAAACAAATTGATTGGACCTGTTATGTTGATCCATTTACCCCTAAAGCGGTCACTAAAATTTTAATGGTCCAGTAGTAGCACTTTGGCCTCTATAGTGACCACTAATTTTTAACCCCTAAGTTGCCGCTAATTTGACTACTATAGTGGCGACTAAAACGTCAAAACCCTATGGTGGTCACTAAAAATTTTCCCAGGTTTTCAAAATTTTCGAAAGGTTTTCACACCACCTTTGACCTCATATAGCCTAGGAAAAAGTCATTTCTTGCTTTTTTGCGATTTTATTCGCTGTAGATGGTCTAGTTTCATCCGCACTTTCTAGAACCTTGTCTTACAAGATTCTACGCTTTTTTAAAGTCCCAGCGAAGTTTTTTTCTTTAACATCATGTCATGATTTTTTTTTTAAATCGATCCGTTCTGAATGGCCTTCCATCATCCGCACTTTCCAGAACCTTACTCACATCACCCGCCAAACCAACAGACTAACTTACCGGAAAGCACCTGAAATGACGGGCAACGGGGAGATTCCGCAGCCGCCGAACGGCGACCTCCGGCCCGTCAGCATCGTCATCGGCGCCGACGACGACTCCCACAGTCGAAGTCACGAGAGCATCGCCCTGCTGCCGCAGCCGGCCGCCGTCATCCGCCCGCCCGTCCAGAAAATCTCGGCCCGGTTTCAGCTCTCCGTCGAGCCCGACGCTCCCCTGCCAATGATGCGCGATGAGAGCCACCGTATGCTTCTTCTTCCGTTGTTCTTTTCAGATCTTTCTTTTTTTTTTGTTTCCAAGCTTATCTCTCTGAAAGGTGTGGTGAAGGTAGTTGGACACAGAAAAAAGAAGAATATAGTTTCCTTTTCCGTTTCAAAAAGGATTTTGTACCGTAAACTTCGGCTCGAAATTTGAATTTTTTTCGGCTGGAAAAAAATTTTTGGTAGTGGAAAAGGGAGTCAAGAAACTAAAACCCGCTTTTTGTTTTATTGGTTTTTCTCAGGATTGATGGGTTACCTTATTTTTTATAAAATGAACAGGAAGATTTTTTTCTTGCTCTTTTCTCCTTTTTTCAAACGCTCTTGAGTGCTCGTCTGGAGGAAACATTTGTTAAAATAAGAAGGATTTTTGAGGTCTCTGAAAGGTTTTTTTGTAGAAAAAAATGATTTTTGATGAAAAAAATCGAGGTTTTTTTTATGAGATTTCTGAATTTTTTTAACTCCTTCTTGTAGAAATATTTATCAAAAAGTCAACAGGATGGATGTTTTTTTGGAAAGGTTTTCTGTTTAAAGTTGGCCAAAAAACTCCCAGAAATTTTTAGGGAAACTTTCTAAAAATATATTCCAAATATTTCAGTTCATATTTTAAACGTATTTTTCGAGCATCGTTAATTTGAAAGGTGAGCAAAAAAATCTTTTTAAAAAAATCTTAAGTAAAGAGTATTTTGAATATTTTCCAAAGATTTCAGTTAAATTTTTCTTGAAATCCTCACCGAAAAAAATGAATATTTTAGGAGAGCTGTTCTCATGGGGCGCCCAGAAAGAAGCCGGCGGCAACCACAATTTGGCCCTCTTCGAGGAGCCATCCATGCCGTTTTTCTCCAATTATTTGAAGGCCCATATCACGCCGGGGCCACTGGAACGGGCACAGAGCTCGCATGGACACGGGGCCAAGGTTTTTTTGGGAAAAAAACGAGAGAAGTCGAAAAAACGAGTAGAAATGAGGATTTTTGGAAGCAATTTGAAAAAAAAAAGCCTTGAAAATTGAGCAAAATAAGAATTTACTTCTAGAAGTAGTGAATATTTCTTTGAAAAAATGAAAAAAATTAAGAGGTTTTTTTATTGAAAAAAATTGAAGAGAAAGCCTCGAAAAAAATGATTAAAATTAAGTGTTTTTCCGTGGAAAAGTTGAGAATATAAAGGCGTCAGAAATGAGGATTTTTCTTGAGAAAAAGCTTTCAGAAAAACATGGACTTTTTTTCAAAAGAAGTTCAATAAACAGCATTGAAAAAAAGCAGCAAAAATTAAGTGTTTTTAGAAAAGTTTGAAAAATCTGTCCAAAGATGAGTAAAAATGAAAATTTTTCTGAACAAGATGAAAAAAACAGCACTTTTTTTGAGGAAAGTTCAGAAAGATATCCTTGAAAAATTAAGCAAATTTTTTTTTAGTGTTTACTTGAAGAATTTGTGTAAAAAAATCGTTGATAAAAAGAGAAAAAAATTAGAATTTTCTGAAAAAAATTGCAAAAAAAGCTTGAAAAAAATTAGCAAAAAAATAAAGGTTTTTCTTCAAAAAAATTTAAAAAAACAGGAACTTTTTTTGAGAAAAAGCTTAGAAAAACAGCCTTTAAACTCAGCTAAATCAGGTTTTTTTCTTTAAAAAAATGAAATAAAAAAAGCCTGTAAAAATCGGCAAAAAGTCAGGATTTTCTGGAGTAAAATGAAAAAGAAAAATCTCGATAAATCAGCAATAATAGGGCATTTTTTTGAAAAAAAGTTTAAAAAAACAGGTTTTTTTGGAGAAAAAGTTTAGAATACGCATTTGAAAAAAATGAGCGAAATAGGGTGTTTTGTTGAAAATAATAGTTGTCAAAAAGAAGTGAAAATGAAAATTTTATGATGATAAGTTTAAAAAAAATCTTGACAAATCAGATTTTGTTAAAAAAATTCTAAAAGTTCGATTTCAGGCTGATTTGGGAGTGATCCTCGGCGTCTACCTGCCCACAATACAACACATTCTCGGTGTCACCATGTTCATCCGTTTATTCTGGCTCGTCGGAATCGCCGGCCTCGGCCAGACCTTCCTCCTTCTCTTTGTCTGCTGTCTTTGTGTTGGTTTTTATTTTTTTTGGGAAGGTTGGGAAAGTTTGAGAAAAATGCAGATCTGTGTGAGAAAGTCGTCAAAATCAAACTTTCAATCGAAATGTTTTTTTTGTACTTTTATCACTTTATTTTCGCAACATCGGAATGGTATGGTGATGTTGCATGCAGGGAAATGTTGTTCAAGTTTTTTCAATTTTTGGTCCTATTTTGATTTTGGACAGCTTACTTTGAAGAAGTTTGGGTTGAAAATCGATATATTGGAAATAGTAGTTCAGAAAAAAATATTTTTTGAAGGTACATTCTTAGAAAATTGGGTTAGAAGCTCAG